CAGCAGCAGCGCCGCCGCGTCCCGCCAGGGGGCGCCGTGATGCGCCCCTCGGCCGCGCGCCCCGCGAGTGCCCCAGGCGGCTGCGTCCCGTGCCCCGAGCCCCATCGCGCCCTCCAGGACACCGCCTGCGCCAGCTGGTTATCGGCAGTCGGCATTTTAAACGTGGCTCATGCGCTGCGGGTGGCGTGCCCTGCCCTGCCCTGCCCTGCCCTGCGCCTTGCGCTTGAGCCGCGGGATCGCCTGTCTCGACGCCGCAGGATAAAGCACCGGGGTGCAGCTGCCCCGCACCTGGGACACGCAAAGCCCTTGACGCCAGGCACACACCGGGGCCCAAAGCCAGTTCGCAAAGCGGGATCGCCATTTTGTGTGAGTTTCCGCCTGGAGCCAAGCCGGCGACTTGCGTGCACCCGGCCCCACGGGAAGGCGCTCCCCAGCGCAGGCTGCAGACAAGGCTCCGATGCAGGGAAATTCTGCGCACAGACCGCTGTGCTGCTTTGCCCTCCCCTGAACACCCCCGCAGCCCCCGAGGACTGCCAGCTGTTTTCCCACTGCCGGGAGTCCCTGCTTCCTGCCCGTTGGGACCAAGGTTTCTCCCCGTCTCTCTTGCAAAGCAACAGACGGTTCTTTGGCAAGAGCTCTTTGCTTCCAGTGCACATCCAGCAAACATAGAAACAGAGCGAGTCAGAAGGGGTCTCCCAGGCCATCTAGTCTGTCTTCCAGCACCAGCCGGCTCCGCTCAAGACATGCCCACCATGTGGACGTCCAGCCTGTCCTTGAACACCCGCACCGATGGGGCCTTGACCACCTCCCGGGGAAGCCCATTCCACACCCTCGGGGTCCTAACTGTCAGGAGGTGCTTCCTGGCATCCAAATGGAACCTTGGCTCCCTGAGCTTTGCTCCGTTGGAGCGCGTCCTGCCTTCCTCTGCAGGGGAGAACAGGTCTCTGCCCATCTCCGTGTGACACCCCCTCACATACCTGCATGTCGCCAACAGATCCCCTCTGAGTCTCCTCTTCTCCAGGCTGAAGAGACCCAGTTCCCTCAGTCTCTCCCCATATGGCTTCCCCTGCAAACCAGCCACCAACCTTGTGGCCATACACTGCACTGACTCTAACCTGGCCATATCCTTTCTGTAATGAGGGGCCCAAAACTGAGCACAATACTCCAGTTGCGGGCACACTAGAGTCGTGTAGAGTGGCAGTAATTCCTCTCTTGATCTAGAAGCCACACTTCTGGCTATGCAACCAAGGGTGGCGTTCGCCCTCTTGACCACTGCATCACATGGCTGGCTCATGTTCAGCCTGCAGGTGACCAGCACCCCGAGGTCCCTTTCACAAGTGCTGCTCTCCAGCCACTTGTCACGTAACCTGTACTTATGACAGCTATTCCTATGCCCCAAGTGCAAGACCTTGCACTTATCCACACTATAACCAGAGAAGCAAGGGTCTCTGAGCATGCATGGAGTGGTTCATCAAATGCAAATGAGAAGCCTTCCAAGAACCCTCCTTTTGAGCGACTCTGGGCCCCACCCCTCAGGAAGGACCCCTCTGGAACTGGGCAGGACTTCCAGCTGAATGCAGCCCCCCATTCCCCCATCCAGCAATCTCTCCTGATGCCGCACCATAGACTCCGGGATTGGAGCAGACTCCCGGGGCCCCTGGCCCAGGCCCCCTTCCAGCCCGTGCGGACGCTGACGGAGCCCAGGGTCCCCTTGAGCTCCCGGAGACAGCAGCCTCATCTGCCTCTGCCTTCTCTCCGCCTCCTCGCTCGCAGAGGCCGTGCCACCCCGGCCTGCAACACAGCCAGGAACAACGGCCTCTTTCATTCCCAGCTCCGATGCGGCTTGCAGGGAGGAAAGCGCAGCCCATCGTGGGCTCGTCCGACTGCGGCCAGCACCACAGGCAGCCAGGGGTGAAAAGGTTCTGCCAGCGCCTTGCTTTAAAGGCATGCGCAGATCCCCTTTCCTCATTTCTCAGACTGCGGAACCACCTGTTTCCCCCGGCAGCGACCTCGGAAAATGCCTCCCGCCGCACCCGGTTCCAGAAGACACCCGTGGCCTCAGCCGTGGAACCCTGGCCGTGGCTCCTGGGCTGAAGCCCCCGCGTCCGTGGGAGCTGCCTGAGCTGAGGCCGCAGCACAAGGGCCTGCGTGGCCTCCTGTCCACCCCGCCACTGCTGATGGGGCAGACGGGCAGCCCCTGCTCCCTCACACGCCTCATGCCGCCGGCACAGCCAGGGGGCAGCTGCCCTGCCGCGCCAGCTGTGGGGAGGCGGCGGGGTGGGCCAGGCGCCAAGCATGTGGGGACCGGCGGGCAGGCCCACAGCAGGGACGGCGGGGACGGCAGGGCTACTCTTGCGGACGCAGCAGGCCTCAGCTGGAGAAGAGCGGCCGCAGCAGGCGGGCGGGCAGACGGGCGGACGGACGAAGGTGCAGCGGCAAAGCCGGGGAAAACGAGGGACGAAGCCTGAGGCTCCGTCCTTGTGAAGCCAGGCCGAGATTGGCAAAAGGCTCTCCGACACCCTGCAGAGCCGGACAATCTGCGGGACGGGAAGCGCCATGGGATGTGTGTAAGCTGCCTTGAGCCCTTTGTAGGAAAAAGGCAGGATATGAATCCAAAAATAAATAAATAAATAAATGCTGCCACGGGGCTCTGGACCGCGACTGGCGGCCCGCTCATCCGCCGAGAGTCCCGCTCCTCGGCCACCACGGTGCTGTTCTTCCTTCCCTCCTGGGCTGCCATTCCTCCCCTCCTCTCCCTCCCCTCCCCCAGGGGCTTCTCTGGGCAAGGCTCCAAGGCCCCGGAAGCCGCTCCCGGCCTCCTCCGAGCCCCACCCACGTGTCGGTCCCGGGGCCAGAGCCCAAGCTGCACGCCAGCGGGCCCTCGCTCGCTTCCAGCGCCGGGGTAGGCGAGGGTGTGCCCGCAGGGGCTGGCCGGGGCCGGGCGGCCTCCCGAGGGCGGCACGAGGGCTGAGGGGCACTCGAGCGGGGGCTCGACCGCGGGCCCCTCCCCGCCCTAGCCGGGGCAGAGCCGGTCGCGCAGCGACGCGCCCACTTGCGCAGCGTGGGCCGGTTGCGGAGCGGGGCTTGGCACGGCACTGCACCCCACCCGCCGCGGCCCCAGCCGCGCTGCAGCCCCCTGGCCTCTGGGCCCCCGCGTTGGGCTGAGGACCTTCATCTGCCGCCTTCCGCTCTGCGGGGGGCAGGGCAGGAGGGCAGACGCGCTTGGCCTCGCCCCCCAGGGCGCTCCCCGAGGCCTGGGACCCCGGCCATCAGTGGAGTGGGGAGGCGCTGCGGTGCAGTGCGCAAGAGCCAGGATGGGGCCACAGGAGAGCCGGGGCCTGGTCCCTGCTCAGCCACGGAGCCGGCTGGGCGGTTTCGGGCTACCTCGCAGGGTTGTCGTGAGGACAAAACCAAGAAGGGGCTCAGGGGAGCTGCCTGGAGTTCCTTGCAAGAGGAGAGGAGGCAGGAGGCAGCTGTGCTGCTTAAGGGCTGCTACGAAGACCCCCGGGACGTGAACAAGGGGCCCGGGGCAGCTGTGGGGGCCCCCGCCTCTCCCTCTCAGGGGCAGCTTCCCACCTGCAGCACTGTGCTTCCCTTGCTGGGGGGGGGGCTCACCCACTTCTCCCACCCCCCCAGCACCTGCCCCATGTCAGCAGGCTGGCACATGACCCCAGGGTCATCGCCCGAATTTTAGGAGCTCCCTGGGCGCCAAACCCGTTTGTGGGGTGGGTCCGGAGCGAGCCTCTCCATGCAGGCCAAGTGGCCCTTCTGCCCCGAGGCTGCAGCCACACGCCAAGGGCCGCCCGCAGCAGGCTCCTCCCGACAGCCGCGAACGCAGGTCCCATCGGACACTCGTCTGCCCTGCTTCTGCCTGCGTCCCTCCGGCCGGATGCAAACACCGGCTCCTCCCAGCCCCATTTTGGGGGGCACCCTCTGCCCCTGGAAACCGCTGCTGCATCCTCTTCCGACAGCCTCCCTGCCCGGTGGCGCAGCGGAGGCAGAACGGGGCCGCCAGCTGTCATGCGCATGCACGTCCGGCCCCGAGCAGGGCCTCTGCCTGGGCTCCCTTGGAGGCCCTGGCACCGGGGGTCAGACCCTCTCGGAAGTGGGGAAGGGATGCAAGGGGCCCGCACATGCATCTAGCGGTGCTTCTGTGAAGGAGTGGGGTTTCCAGTGTCAGGTTTTCTCTGTTTCTCACTCTTCCTATCTTGCATTGCAAACTTGGAGAATTTTTCCAGTCTGACATTTGGTTTGCCCTAAACTCTGAGGCATTTTGAAGTTTGCCTGAAGATTTGTGATGCGTTTTCCCAAGCATTTCTCCAAACACCTGCATGTTTGCACGGAAAGTCTGCATTTTGCCATCACCCCTAGAGAACGCCACTGCCCATCCAGAGGAGTGCGGAGTGTGTAGGCTGCCCGCGATCTGGTTCACCCGGAAGTCACAGGATGCCTCCCTCCCCAGGGAATGTGGTGGGGGGCTATTTGCCCCCCTTCCACTGGCTCCTGCGAAGGCCCGGTGCCAATCGCACCCAGGCCTCCGATCCTCGGCCATGCGATGGCGGGGCAGGATGCGCAGCCCCCGGGCCAGCACAGCAGGGCCGAGCGCGCATTCGGTGCGCCTTCCCTGGCCCGGCACACCAGTTCTGTGAACGGCGTAAACCAGCCTTCCCCATACCTGCCAAGCAGTGGGGCAGCTGCCCCCCACGCTGCTGGCACCGCGGCACGGCTATGCCGCAAGGCGAAATCCAACACCGCTGCAGGGCACCGGCTGGGGGGAGGCCAGCAGGCACCCCCACCCCGACCCACCCCGACAGGTGCTGAGACGGGCAGCCAAGGCGCAGGCTGGCGACGGGAGGGCTATAAACAGCCTCTCCCAGCTGCCTCAGTCGCTGAGCCCTGGCAGCCCCTGCCGCCTGATTGTGTGGCCGGCAGACGAGGGGCGCTCCCACGCTCGCCCCCCCACTGCGATGACGAGGTTTGTCCGCCGCCATTTGATAGCCTGTTGTTTGGAATGAGTTTTAAGCAGCTTTATATTCTAGCACGTTGAAAGCCTTTCCATTCCAGCCACCTGGAGGGCTCGACCGGGGTGCCAGCAAGCTGCCTGTGCACGTATTTCAGGACGGAACTTGGACAACTAAGGGGAGCCTGGACTCAGGGCATGTGCAGAAGGCTTTTCTCTCTGCCCTCCCACCCCACCGCCTTCGGATGAAGCGCTCTCCCGCTCCCACCCGCCATCAGACAGGATGCTCAGCACTTCTTGGCTGCGCTGCAGACGCCGCTGCCTTTCCCCCACCCGCTTGCTGCTCGGGGGGCACGCAAGGGTTACGCAGGGCGGCGGGCCGATGCCTGCAGCCATCCGCTCCGGAGCCGCCGCCGCCGCTGCTGACTCGGCCGGCCTCAGGCGCCACCGTGCCAGCCCGGGCCCCGGGCCAAAGACGCCTCTCCGCGACTCCCCGAGCTCCGTGCAGGACGCGCGGAACAGGACGGGACCCTCCCGCGGCCGCGCGCGCGCTCCTCGGCGGCTGCCAGCACGGCGGCCCGCCCCCGCCCGGGACCGGCCCGCGCGGCGCTTTATAAGGCCCCGCTGGACGCGGCTGCGGCCCTGCTCGGCCCAGAGGCCCCCCCCGCCCCGCCCCCCGGTGCTCCGGCAGGGCCTGGGGGGACCCTCGGCGAACCGCGCGGCACGGGGGCCGGAAGGCGGGCGCTCCGGGGAGAGGCGCGCAGCCACCAGGCGCCGGGCGTGTCCCTTCTCCGCACGGGAGCCGAGCCGAGGCCCCCACGGCCGCCGGCCCCTCCCGGCCGTGACTCAGGCCTCTCCGCGCGGGGTGTGCCAACGGATCCACGGCCCAAAGGCGGGCGGGGGCGCCACGGGCCGGTGCCGCCTTGCGTGGCCGGCTTTTCTCGGGGTGACCTAGTGCTGCTCCAGGCAAGCTCCGAGGAGGAGGGTCGTTTTCTCGAGAAGCGGCCCACCCGCGAGCCCCAGAGGCAGCCACGAGTGATGCAGTCCCGACAGGTGCACCGCCGCGGGGAGAACTAGCCGGGCGCCCAAGAACACACGTGCTTTGCGCAACACCCACGAAAAGCGCGCGGGGGGGGGGGCGTTTCAGTAAGCCTGGGCACGACCCATCTTGAGCCAAGCATGTCAGTGGCCCAGTGGGGGACCGGGGGGCTCTTCTCCGCGCCCCCTCCCCCACGGGCCCGAAGGCCTCCCGTCGGGGAAGTTACAGCCTCCGAAACGGAACCCCCCCCCCCCCCTGTGCAGCCCCCTGCGAACAAGGCTGCCCCCCCCGTGCAAGCCGCACCCCGGCTCCCCGACACGAAGGAACGGTCGCCGCCGCGCCCCCGCAGGATGCGGCCCCGGGCGATCCCGGCCCGCGCCGCCCGGCCCCCCGGCCCGCGCTTACCCGCGAACACGGCCGAGCAGTAGGCGTCGCTGACGTCCGCGTCCGGGGTCTGCACGTTCTGCGCGTGGAGGACGAAGACCCTCAGCATGGCGGCGTGCCCGGGCCGGGACGTGGCCCTCCGCCGCGGGCCGCCGAGCAGCTGCTGCAGGAGGGCGCGGGCGGCGGGCGCGCGCCCTTAAAGGGAGCCGGGCGGCCGTGCGGCCGGCCGGGGGCGGCGCGGGGGCGTTGCTCCCGCCTGCCCGCCCGGCCGGGGGGTCGTGCTGCAAGGGGGCGGGCGCCGAGGCTCCCAGGCGGCTGCCCGCGCTGCGGGGAGGACGGGGCGAGGCTGGCGGGGGCGCGCTGGGCGGGCCAGCTGCCCGCTTCCCGCGCAGGATTTACCGGGCAGCGCGGGCCGGGGCTGCGGGGCGCGGGCCGGGGGGCTGCCGCAGGCCACGCTCCCCGCCGCGTCAGGCGTCTTCCTGAGCGCAAGCCACACAGCGAGGAGAGACAGATGCGCGCAGATGCGTGGCCCGCGTCCAGAGGCACCTGGGATTACTTATACGTGCCGGCTTTGGGCCTGACACACTTTAAGCGAGGAAGGTCGCTGAAGCAACGTTTCCCATTGCCATCCCCCCGCCCACCCGCAGGCACCTGAACCCTTCCCCGAAATCTTCAAGAGGCGGGGCTCTCCTGAGCAGCTGCAGGGCGGGGGGGGGGACCTCTCCAGACAGACCTGCACCCCAAGACAAACGAATTTCAGGAAGTTCCCCCCCCACATCAGGCAGGAGCACCCCTCGGGCCCTCCCAGGAGGGAGGCCCAGGGGCGTGGGCAGGCGCATTTCCTTTCAGATCCAGACAGCAAGTTGGATGCGCGCAGCAAGCAACCTCCGTCACTTGCAGATGGAAAATTTGCGCGCGGATCCAGTGGCACAGAATGCGCGCGGCACCGGCGGCGCTCCTGCGTTTAGCAAGGAATCGCCATGATGTCGAGCGAAATGATCCCGAGTCGGGGCGAGGAGCGCGGGCCCGGATCCGCCCTCCCGCGGGCCCGCCGACCCTCCGCGGGCTCCCCGGGAGCTGCGCCCGCTGCCCAGCCGGTGAGAGCGGCGCGCCTGCCTCGCGCGTGCGGGGCCCTCCTCCCATTCGGGGAGACGGAGACGCCTCCGCGGAGGCTCGCGCGCAGCGCAGCGCAGCGGGAAGGGCGAGGGGAGGATCCGGGGCAGCCGGGAGCGCCCCGTTCGCCGCTGCCCTGGGGGAGGGCAGTTCTCCGGTCCGGAGGGGCCGGCGGCGAGGCCAGTCGCAGCGCCCTTTCGAAGCCGGCCGGCCCGCGAGCTGGGCGGAATCCCCGCGTGAGCTCAAGCGTAGGGTCCCGTGGATCTTGCCAGGGCTTCCACGCCAGGGCGGGCCGCGCAGGTCGCTGGCTCTGCTGGCTGGAGCGGAGGGACCGAGCCCTTAGTGCGCGGAGTGCCGTCCCGCAGCCGCGCCGCGCCCTGGAGGCGCACGATCTGGTGACCCGGTCCGCCTTGCCCGGAACCGGAACCTGCGCAGCCCTGAGCAGGGGGCCAGGAGTGGGCGCTGAGGCCTGGCCCCTTCGTTTGGACTTACTGGGAAGTGGGGATACTGGGGTGCGGACAGTTTGGAAAACCTGATTTCCCTTTTATCTCGGGCAGTGGAACCTGCCTGTAGATTCCCGGTGGCACGTGCAATCGAGGAGATGCCTGAGATGAAAGACTATTTTGATTCATGCAAACACACATCAAAAGGGAAGCAGGATGAAATAAAACGCTTTACAATGTTGTGTTTAAAAGGCCCAAAGACCAAATATTCCACCCCCTGCCAACGCGTAGGGCTCGCGGCTCCGTTTCCCCACCGCCTTTTGGAAAGAGCAGAGCAGCGTCTTCCCAGTGCCTGAGATGTACCAGCAGGTGCCACATATCCGATCCCACACCACAGGTGCGACTTTCCTCTTTTTAAAGCAGGCCAGCGGGTATTTTTATTCCTCAGAGCCCTTCCGGGCAGTATGTTGGGAGGCAGGGCTGGCCTGAGCGATCCAAGAGGAGTGGAAGCCACGGGGGACTCCTCTGCCGCCTGTGGGCAGAAAATGCCCTCCCCCCGCACTCCCCCACAGTGTGCAGTCACCCTCCCTTTATAAAGCCTTCTATAAACTGGGAACGTGCCTGTTTATTTGCTGAAAGCACCGCGAATGCGTTTCGGGGGCCGGGGGTGGGGGAGCTGCTCCAGCCCACAAAGCGCTTTCTGCTCTTCTTTGCACCTTTCCCCAGTTTTCTGCACCTTTTGGAAATGGACAGTCACCGCTGGGCCCTTGTCCAGGTGTGGCTGCACCATCAACAGGTGAAGCTGGCTCTGAGAAGGGCCGTAATTTTCCTTCCGTTTCCTGCTAACACCTCGCATGCATGCAGCGTCCCTGCTCACTGCTGTTGCTCCCCGGGGATTTCCACTGCCAGTCTGGGTAATGCTGGGCTTTGTTGCTGTTTTGTGGCAGGACTGTTGTTGCCAGGGCTGGCGTGTGTGTGCGTGTGAGTGCGCATGCACATCTCAGAGGAATCTGGTGCACCATGGCCAAGACTGTTACAGCCAGGAAAACCTAGACCCTGGCCTGACTTGTCTTGGCAGGGGGAAGAGCTGTATTAATTCAGTCAAAAGCACGGACTACTTCCCTCCCCTGCTTTCTATTTTATTTTATTATCTATTTTTATTCATTTCTGTGCCAGCAATAGCTCAGGATGTCTGGATTATTTATAGCAATTCATAAAATGCAATCAAATACAGTATAAAATACAGACAGAACTAAAAGTTCATACCATTTCACTACAGAAATTTTAAAAGGTGATGTAAAGAGCTAAAGCAGATTCCTATTTCCAGACCTGCTAGCAATCGCTGGCTCAAGCACCCCCCCCCCCCTGCCATTTGGAGACACGAAACCCCTTCGCTTCAAGGTCAGCCTTGGCCTGGCTCTGCAGGAACGGGGGAAGTGGCAGCAGGCAAGGGGGGGGGGGGGGGAGTGGTCCCACAGGCAAGGGCCATCCTGGGGAGGGGAGGGGAGGGACCTGGTCCCTTTGCCTCCAGCTGAGCTTCGCCCCAGCTGGCCCTCGGAGAAAGCTCCCAGACAGACGGAAGCCAGGAGAGGCGCTCACTCCTACAGGCATGCCCTGCGGTCCCCCACCTTTTGAAGCCTGGCAGGTGAAAGCCAGCACCTGGCTGCCACCGCCTTCTGCGCAAGCTGCAGCCTCCACAGCAGCCCATGTGGAGCGCCTTGCAGAGCACGGACGCCGGAGGCCCCGCCGTCCCTGTCCGGGGCTTTAACGCATTCAGCACTTGGCAGCCGCTTCTCTGCTCCTGGCGAGTGAGAGCAGAGCAACACCGGCCAGTGCAGGCTTGCGCTCGCACAGGCACTGAAGGGAAACGCTGAGCATGTCCCGTTTTGTGTGGCTCAAACAGCAGCGCCACCACGGCAGAGCTTATATCCGCTGAACGCATCTGAGATGCAGCAGCATTTCGCTGTAGGAAAGACTGTGCTTTTCAAGAAAAAGGAATCCAGGGTACAGCGAGCACCTGTAACCACACACCTGCCCAGGTGGCTGCCCCCCTCCATAACTATGAAGTACTTTAAAGATTAAGATGCAGCCAGCGTGGTCGGCCAGAGGCCACGGAGCGCATGCCAGGCCTCTTGCCCCTTCCCGTCGCTGCAGTGCCCTCGCTCAGCTGGGCCACAACCAGGATGCTGGGCCAGATGGCTCGTTCGGGCCAGTGCAGCTTCTGCGCCAGGCTCCAGGGGCACTTGTCCTTACAGGAGTGGGGGGGGGGGGACTTTGAGGCAGCTGTCCGGCACCTGCGCCTGGATTGCACTGCCTGGCATTAGCTCCGCAGGATGCTGCCGATCACACAGGGCTCAGCCCCGATGGCTGACGTGCCCAATCGTTTCAAGCAGACCTGAGGCTTCGGCTTCAGCTTCCCGGAGCTGCCTCCACCCGCGACCCACTGCTCAGCGCCATAGCGGTGGGATCGCAGGAGCCATGAAGATCATCCTGTCCCAGAAATGGGTACAAGCCTGGATCTGAGGAATGAAGGGCACCCGACTGCTGCAGAAGCCTGGCCTTCTCTGCCCTTGTAGATCTCAGAAAGACTGGGTGTAATTTTCCATGCAATCTTCTGGAAATTTTATGGTGGCTGCTTCCTTCTAAGAATGCTGCCCCGCGGGACTTGCAAGCTGAGATAATACGCAAACAAGATGAATACAATAGGGTCATTGACTGAAGTGGGTGATCTTGATCCAGTGTGGATCCAAAACGGAGTCTTTGGTGAGCACCGCTGTATGCTCCAGTCCAACGCCTCAGCATCCCGCAAGCGTGCAAGAAATGTGGGTTGGGGCCGCTCATCCCTAGAGGGCTGGAGAAGTGGAAGGGGCCAAGGCCAGGCAGCCCTGGTGGGCATAAAAGGGTACAGATGGGCAGATAGTTGATTTGGGAGGGGGCCGAATGAGGTGACAATGTCTCCTGGGAATTACACACTTTGAGCAGTTACCCACATTGTGCCGCTAAGGATGGAACGGAATATTTCTAAAAATTAGAAACGGATCAACCAAGGCATTTGAGCAATGCTGAGAAGGACTTAAATGCATTATTTGCTGGGTTTAGAAGCGGCTACGTAAGGCAAGGGAGAAAAGATACACCCAATTGAATGCAGAATTCCAGAGAATAGCTAGAAGAGATAAGAATGCCTTCTTAAATGAACAGTGCAAAGAACTAGAAGAAAACAATAGAATAGGGAGGACCAGAGTTCTCTTCAAGAAAATTGGATATGAAGGGAGCATTTCATGCAAAGATGGGCATGATAAAGGACCAAAATGGCAGGGACCTAACAGAGGCAGAAGAGATTAAGAAGAGGTGGCAAGATTACACAGAAGAACTATACAAGAAGGAGCTTAACGTCCCTGATAACCACGATGGGGTGGTCGCTGACCTCGAGCCAGACATCCTGGAATGTGAAGTCAAATGGGCCTTAGGAAGTCTGAGCAACAACAAAGCTAGTGGAGGCGACAGTATTCCAGCTGAGCTATCAAAATCCTAAAAGACGATGCAGTAAAAGTGCTACACTCAATATGCCAGCAAACTTGGAAAACTCAACAGTGGCCACAGGATTGGAAAAGGTCAGTTTACATTCCAATCCCAAAGAAGGGCAATGCCAAAGAATGTTCAAACTACCGCACCATTGCACTCATTTCACATGCTAGCAAAGTTATGCTCAAAATCCTACAAGCTAGGCTCCCGCAGTATGTGGACCGAGAACTACCAGAAGTACAGGCAGGGTTTCGAAGAGGCAGAGGAACTAGAGACCAAATTGCCAACATATGCTGGATCATGGAGAAAGCTAGGGAGTTCCAGAAAACCATCTACTTCTGCTTCATTGACTATGCTAAAGCCTTTGATTGTGTGGATCACAACAAATTGTGGCAAGTTCTTAAAGAGATGGGAGTACCAGACCATCTTATTTGTCTCTTGAGAAACCTGTATGCGGGTCAAGAAGCAACAGTGAGAACTGGACACGGAACTACTGATTGGTTCAAAATTGAGAAAGGAGTTCGGCAAGGCTGTATACTCTCGCCCTGTCTATTTCACTTATATGCAGAGCACATCATGAGAAAGGCGGGGCTAGATGAATCACCAGTTGGAATTAAGATTGCGGGAGAAATATCAACAACCTCAGATATGCAGATGATACCACTCTCATGGCAGAAAGTGAAGAGGAACTAAAGAGCCTCTTGATGCGGATGAAGGAGGAGAGCGCAAAAGTTGGCTTGAAACTCAACATTAAGAAAACTAAGATCATGGCATCCGGTCCTCTCACTTCCTGGCAAATAGATGGGGAAGAAATGGAGGCAGTGACAGATTTTATTTTCCTGGGCTTCAAGATCAAGATCTTAATTTCTGCAGCCAAGAAATTAAGAGGGGCTTGCTCCTGGGGAGGAAAGCTATGGCAAATCTAGACAGCATACTAAAAAGCAGAGACATCACCCTGCCAACAAAAGTGCGTACAGTCAAGGCTGTGGTTTTCCCAGTTGCAATGCATGGCTGTGAAAGCTGGACCATAAGGAAGGCTGAGCGCCGAAGGATTGAGGCCTTTGAGTTGTGGTGCTGGCGGAGACTCTGCGAGTCCCTTGGACCGCAAGGCAATCAAACCGGTCAGTCCTGGAGGAGATCAACCCTGACTGCTCTTCAGAAGGCCAGATACTGAAGATGGAACTCAAATATTTTGGCCATCGAATGAGAAGGAAGGACTCCCTGGAGAAGACCCTGATGCTGGGAACAATAGATGGCAAAAGGAGGAGGGGACGGCAGAGGATGAGGTGGCTGGATGGAGTCACTGAAGCAGTTGGAGTGAGCTTAGGTGGACTCTGGTGGATGGTGGAGGACAGGAAGGCCTGGAGGAATGTTGTCCATGGGGTCGCGATGGATTGGACACGACTTTGCGACTAACAACATCACAACCTGTAACATCCTGGGAAAGGTATTGCCATTATAAATTCAGATATTGTATGGCTACAAAACACAGCACTATCTGAGAGGCAGAGAAAATAACTCGAAGATCATATCTGGAACCACCAAAACCACGAAGAACCCCATCATAAATATGCAGCTATTTCCAGAATTACAGATTTGGTGGTCTTGCAAGAAAAAGATTTTTTTTTTGATAAAAATGTTTGTAAATATGCAAGACATTATGGGGTTGGGTCCTGCTTTTCAGAGTACCCTGCCAGGACTGAACCGATGTGGGGTTTCCCGGCAGCTGAGCTTCATTGGCTAAGGGGATGTCGCGGGGTGGCCGCAGGTGGCTCTTGGGAGTTCCTTTTGCGGCCCGCAGATGGCTCAGACCTCCCCACTCCCCCCGTAGGGATCCTAGCAATGGCACGGGCACGATTGCGGCAAGCTCTCCCAAGGCTACCAGCCTGACCCACTGCCTTCCTGAGGCTCAGGAAGAGAGCAAGCTGGACCGGCAGCCTCACAAGAGCTCACCCCATGATGTTCCTGCAGACTTTAAAAGCCAACTTGACCCCCTCCCTCAGTGTGGGGAGAGTAGGGACCAGTTGCCACTGCAAGGAGAGCCTGTCATTCATGTGAAGAGGGCTGTCCCACTGCTGCCAGTCCTTCTGCAGCTCCCTCAAAGGTCCCCGATAGGACAGGGTCTTCCAGTTCAAATTCCAACAAAGGATTCTCAGCACTTCTCACTAACCTGTAACCGCCAGAACTGAAAACACAACACCCTGTGATTTTTTATTAACGTGGCCTTTGTTATGAATAGTTCCTGTTCCTAAGGGTCCATTCCTTTGGAAGAGCACCCCACAGTTCCAGGTGTGTCTGTCTTTATCATGCACATTTCAAAAGCACCCACAAGTAGGAACATGCTTTCACAATGTCATAATACAGAAGTATTTGTTCATGTCTTGCGACTCTCAAATACCTGACATTTACTGTCTCTTTACTGGGGCTCTTCGGTTGAGCAACTCTGGCCACCCCGGAACACGATGGACACTCCGTGACACGAACAGCGCACCAGGCATGACAAAGATGCACGCAAACTCGCCCAAGTGGGGGCCAGGGGCTCTCCCTGGCGCTGCTGAAAACGGGGCTTGCGCCACCCCACGTGCCCGCAGGCCACACCCCTGTGGAGGTGCAGTGCTGTGCCAGCTCCAGGGGCGAAGCGGGGCTCTCCCCGGCACCCCACGCCCATGGGAGGAGAGGGAAAATTAAACGGCAACTCCCTTCCTCCACAGCACCGGGCTCGCAGCTACACCCAGGCACAGAACGCCGCACCCAACAGCACCAGCGTGTGAAGCAGGGGTCGGCGACGGCTGGGGACCCCGGGGCCGGTCCTCCCCCCTCCACAAAGCTCCCTGGGAGCTGCACCACATGGACGGACAGACACGCTCGGCACAGGGAAGCGCCCGGCTGTGCACACTTTTGCTTCGTGAGGCCACGGCCCACTTGCGCGGAGAAGGAAGAGCTGCTGCACCGTGTGATTGGCCACCCTGGCCAGGGAAGGGTCGGCATCCTCACGGCCACGGCGCTCTCCCCCTCCTTCCTGGGGGGCGGCAGCAGCGGCGGCGGCGGTGAGGCTGAGCCACAATCCCCGCCAGAGTGCTCAGGAGGCACCGGGCCCTCCCTCCCTGCTCAGCTGCCGCCTCCTGCTTACCCACCGTACAGCACCCGATGCTCCCTGCACAAATGGCGTCTATTCTGCAGGGGTGGGGCTGACCAACCGCAGCACCCAGGACCCCTCCAGAGGCCCTCTGTCCTCCAGGCGGACTCCCGGCTTCCACATGCCAGGCACACCGTCCTGAGGCTGATGCACAAACCCGCAGGGTCCCTTCCCGTCCCGCCCCAGCAGGTGCCCGGCAGGTGCCCTGCCTTTGCCGCGGGAGTTGCTTTTGTTGCTAAGGCCTGGTCGGCGGAGATCGCCTCCTCCATCCGCGGGGCTGTCCTCCGGGTGCGGCTGCAGGGGCAGGCAGGGCCTGATGGCTCCAAGCCAGCAGCACTGCCTCTCCCCGCTCACCCAGGTCCCGCGCAGCATGAAAAGCACGTGCGCTGGCGGCGAGGCTGGGGCAGTTCGGAGGATGGGGAGAAATGGTTTTCGGGGGTCCAGGGAGGCTACCTGGCAAGAGGACCGAAAGAGCGGAGTCCTGCAGGCTGCTGGGGGCAGGGGAGATGGCTGGCCAGCCCACACAGGAGCCAGGATTACTCTCTCGGGCGTATGAGGGAGCAGCACCAAGTCTGGCTTTTCTGCAAAGCAGAAGCGCCAGAGCTGAGCCAGTAAACAGCATCCTGCAGAGCTGTGGTGACTGTACAGTAAGAACATTTATTTAAACGCTTCAAAGTTAATCGTGAAGAGCAGTCAAAACCATCACACAATTTATAATCGGTCGTCATCTATAATGAACATGTGTACAACGTGAACGCTTGCAAAGGAACAAAATGAAAGCACGAACTCAATACATGGAACTGGCTGGACCCTGAATGGAACGGGCAGAGGCGCTCGGCCATCTCCCCATCACGTGGAACTCAGTCCTTCAGAATTCCCCTTTTTCTTTTCCTCCGCTGCACTCTTCATGAATTTCTGCAGAAAAACACAAAAAAACTTTTGCAGTAACAGTGACAAACAGAAAAGTATCACTTTTTGGAGGGGGGGGGCGGGGGAGGTTGCCCCAGCGCCTATTCTACCCGGAGCTTCTGCTGCTGCTGCAGGGCCATGACCCTTGGCTTTGAGAGCATTCGTTCACGGCAGGGACTGGCCAGCACCCAGGGACACCTGACCGGGAGTGTGGGCACTGGGAGCTGGGCAGCACATGTGCCACACCTCTGGCGCTTAAAACCCCCGGGACCGAGCAAAGACGAGCAGAAGTTCGTCACGGCACTTCTATTCAGCTATTCTTCTGCAGGGATAAGTTGCAACGCACTGAGATGCATGTGGAGGTAATGACCAAGGAGACTTTCCTGTCTGTCTGCCATAGAAAGAAGGTTAACTTTGCTCTCCCTTCCTGGGTCAGAAACACAGCAGGGTTTTTTTTTTTTTTTTTTTTTTTGCATTATGGAGTGAGACATGAAGACAGAATCGTATTTGAACAACTCTGGCAACTGCCCTGGGCTGCCCTAAAATCTCACAGAACTAAGTTAGAAGGAAAATCAGAAATGCATTCAGTCTAACCCCTGCTGACAGAGGAAATCAAACAAGCCGATTAATGGCAGAAAACACAATGATTTCCATGGGCCGCCTAAGGCGCTTGGCACAACAATCCGGGGGAAAAGACAAAAAAGTCATATCAACAACTTCCACCCACGGCAAGGGAGCCATTTCCTTCCTGCGCGGAGAACTTCAGGTCATATGCGAGCACCGGGCCCTGGAAAGCACTTTGCCATTGTTCTGAAAGCAAAGCGCAGCACCAGTAATGCTGTTCCAGAAGCGACGGTGCCCGTGCTTGGCGTTCCAGAGGACTAGGAAGAGGCAGTACCTCCCTATTTTGCTGGTGGAGCTGCGACTGGCAGTGGGTCTTCATGGAGGCTTCATCCACGCAGAAGCAGGAGCAGATCTGGCAGAAAAAGCCAACCGTAGGGACAAGGAAGTCTGAATCTTGAAAGCAAAGAACAGGGACCAGTGAATGCACGTGCGCACTTTCAACACCCGAGCGGCAAATGCAGTTCGTCTTTCGGTTTTGGCTGGAGATGGCAAGAAGCGAAACTTCAAGCGGATCAATGAGCGAGCTGCTCTCCTTGCAACTGCGCTTTATTTCTTTGCATTACAAGGATTCTGAGGCAACAGCTCTGAAAGCGGAGCTTTTTTTTTGCAACCTCAACCAGGCCATATTTCTGCACCGTACAAAACCTAATGCGGACTGAGGTTCCCCCCAAACCCCTCCTTTACTGAAAAAGGAGAAGGGTGAGGGGAAGGAAAAGAGCAAAAGGGCCATGCAGGAGTGGGCCGACAGACCCGTCCAGCCCAGCAGCCGCTGCCTGAGGAAAACCACAACTAAAGCACAACGGCAGCAACCTTACCTCGGGCTGGTAGCCGCTGGAAGCCCCCTGCTCTGTGCAGCTGCCCAATTCGGGCCATCCGAAAGGGTGGCGATCGCTACATCCTGCGAGGGGAGTTCCAGTAGCGCACCCACCCCTGCACGAAGAGCTCCCGCCCTGTCCCTGCGGCAGCGAAGCGGCTGGGAATGCGGCTCCGGGCGCTCCCTCTCGCTCCTTCCGCCTGCGGCCAGATCGCGGCCTTGCGCCAGCCGCCGGCCTCCCCCGCGCCCTGCGCACCGGCCAGGATCTGCCGCCGCGCCAGCGGGCGCTCCCCCACGGAAGGAGGGCAGGACGCGAGCCCACGGGGGGGGGGTGCACGCCCGCACGGCGAACCGCGTGCCTGACCCGAACCTCGGCCGGTGCGCCACTCTGTCTCCCGCGCCTGGCAAAGAGGCGGGGCTGTTGCCTGCCCGGAGCAGCAGGCGCTCATTGCGCGTCCTTCGCTTCTCCGGGTGCCGTGCTGGTGCCAGGCACGCAACACGCCTGAAGTGAGTGTGGCTGGGGTGTGCGTGCACGCGCACGCACGCACGCAATAACCGTGGGTGGTCCTCAAAAGCAGAGGAAAGCCCCCAGATCTGGGGGAGCTGAGGCTTAGCTGAGGTGAAACGCGGTGGGCTGCCCCCCCCACACAGCCCCCCCACTAAGACATGTGTGGGCACGCAGGACATTCGAGGAGATGCGCAGCCAAGGCCTGCACATGTGCACACATGCGCGCCCGCAGAAGCCCATCAGGCAGGGCTCCCATTCTGCACGGGGACCTCCTCCGCGGTTCCTGCCTCCTTTCCCACGCAGCTCATTCTCCTCCCGCTGCCATGACAGACGCTTTGGAAACCGCGACACAGAATGGAATGAGCATTATGCAGGTGCGCCCCCCTGCTGTGCATGTGCACCGTTCTGGCACTGGTCGTGCAGAGCTCGGAGTATGTGAGAGGAACCCCCACCCCACTCCTGCAGCGGGCTTGCGACTACCAAGCGTGCCAGGGAACGGTGGGAGTCGTCGGATCGCATTCTTTCTCTGGGATTGCGCCCTCAGCTGTTTAAAAGACGACACTCCTTTCAAAGCATCCTAGATTCCAAATGAAAGGACAAAGCTATCAAGCAACTTTCTTGGCTCATTTAACAGTTAAAACGGGAAGCAGGTGACGAAACGCTTTCAGAAAGCCCCAAAATAAAGATGCAAATGCCGCAGGGACCCCGCCCCCCCGATCATACCTTTCAGGTGGCTTGGGGACAGTGATTTCTCAGAAGACTCCACTCTTGTCTGTTTTGACTCTGGCTCTTCATGTTCTGAGCTGGCCACATCTATTAAAACAACATTTTAATTAGTGGATCTATTTGATGCAGAGAGACGCAACGCAGCAGGAGTGGGCAGATTTCAAGCTTGCAGGAGCTACCTTTTTTTTAACCAGAGCCCTGAGTGCACCGGCCTGTTGCAAAAGACAGGAAGAATCCCGAGTCTGAAATTCGCTCTGAGCACCCCGATCGGACTGAGCTCAGAGTTTTGACCCAAAAGTCCACTCCTGTTCATTTGACGCTTCTTCTCATTGCTGCCATTTAATTTAGGGCAAGGTGTCTCAACACTATCCCAGGCTGCACCATCAAACAACCCATGGTTAACCAACCATGCACTGAGAAAGCCTTTTTGCTTCTGCAATTGAGAACGCCTGCAGGCACGCAGGCCTGATGCCACGCTGGGAGTGATAAAAGGCCTACAGAGAAGTAGGTTTGTTCCTGTTTGAGCACACCCAAGACTGCATATTCCAAGAATTCAAATCCCGGCTGATCCCTGCAAACCACATCAACCTCAGTGAGCCTCCCCCAGGAGCCCCCGCCAAACCAGGTGAGGAAGGGGCTGCAAAGAGGCAGGCCTTCGCGGCAGTGGCGTCCTGGCCGCTGGAGCTGCTTCTCGGAGCTGCTGGCCCGGCTGCCTTGCTGCGCTGCTTTTGGCACCAGCCAGAAGGCCTCCCCCGGCATTCTATGTTTTTTTATTTTAAATCGGCTTTTGTATTTTAAATCTTTGCCCTGCTGGAAGCTTCAGTTTGGTTATTATCCTGGCTCCCCCCCCCCACAGCTGTACAGTCACAAAGAGCAACTGAAAACAAGTGAGGGAACACGTCTTGTGCCGAGGGCCAGCTGGCCTTAGGAAACCCCCTGGAGCTGTCCGACAGCGGTGGGGGGGTGTGGAGCCCGAACCAGAAACGGCCACGGCACTCTCACGGAAGCCGTCACGCAGAGACACCCGGCCCACTTCGCTGCTGCCGCCGTGAGGAGGGCGCTGATCCTTCAGAACTGCCCTCTGACAGCGCTCCTCGCGTTGCAAAGGCTCTGCTCCCGAGAAAGCCAGTTCCATGCACACACGGCTCCAAAAAGATGGGGAGCCACAGAGCCCCTCCAGGGAAGGGGTGGGAGGAGGAGAAGAGAACGGTACTTCTCTCTCCATTGCAGAGGCTGGGCTGTGGCACTGACAGACAGTAGCAGCCACACTAATTTGGCTAGTACTGCCAAACACACACACACACACACACACACACACACACACACACACACACACGCGCGCGCGGAGGGAGGGAGGGAGGGAGGGAGGGAGGAAATAATGCTCAAACCATGGAGCAGCCCTTGAAAGAATTCCCCCAGACACAGATGGTTTGTGGAACGTGACCTAACCAGAAACTACTGGAAGAGGTGCTGTTACAAAGCTGGCTACTCTGAGAAGCCCCTCTATGCCATCCAGCGAGCTGAAAAGCGGGTCTCAGAAAGCCGGTCTGGGTTTGCACCATCAAACCCCTGGTGAGCAAGCCCTGCACTGTGAACGCAAGGAGCAAGCCAAAGTGCTCATCTCAGCCTACCGCATGCTTCCCCTTTTCAGTTTTGTTTTTGGAGTTGTTTAACTCCAGATTGTTTAAACCCTAAACAACACAAAGGGTTGGCTTCGGATGTCATAACCCAGGAATGGGTGTTCCAATCCTGTTTTGGAAAGAGGAAGGAACGCATGATCTGCCTGTTTACTGCTGCGTGGGCCTAACTACTGTGCGTTAAACAGCCCGCAGGCAACCGTGATGAGCGTACTGGGTAAACGAATATTGCTGGGTTGTGAACATGTAGCAATTCAAGCTTCTGAGAGAGAATTCAAAATCAGTTTTATGAAATGCATTCCCTGCCTCAGACTGCACTCCAACAGCCTTGCTATGAGATGCAATCAACAGGCTTCTCCTTAAAACTTAGACTTATAAATCAGTATTCAGATGGTGGGGTTGAGCTACACCAAGGGATGAAAATGCATAAAACTTACCCAGCGGAACGGCTGGTGCCGAAGCAAAGTACTCCTTGGACAAAGCAACGGGGCTCGTCCCCTGGCCTGGCAGAGCAGGGCCATTGCATGGGCGCGTCCAGCCCCCTGACAAGCATCTGGGGGCCCGACTGAGCATTTTCCAGCAAGACAACCATCCGGCTGCAGAAACCGTGCACGCTGCTTCACCTCTCCCGTGGCACGGATCGATGGTGGCACGACCACGCTTTCCCCAAGCGGACGAGCACGAATATGAATTTCGGCTTCTCTACTTGCTGCCGGAATGCAGCCAGCAGAGGCGCCTGTCTGCCCACGCTCTGCACCACCGTCTGCAAGCAGCACCTGGACAAAGTCTGATGCCGGACTCTCACGACAGCTGATCCACGGCCCCCTCTTGCTGATCAAGGCAAGTGTGCTCATGGGGCTGCAAACAGCCGCCTGCTGGTCTGTCTTTTCAAAAACGATGGGCCACCTTGAAGGATGAACCCCGCTCAAGCCAGCAAGTGACACCCAATCAGATCCACCGCTGCCAGGATCACTTGAAACGGGCAGTGACACCTGAATGGCCACCAGGAACTGAAGGCTGCAGCTCTGCACTCACAGCCTCGGGAATGTGAATTACGATTCTGCATTTTGCCACCTGGCGCAGGTTTTTTGTGGGGAAACGGGGCGTGTATGGCAGTGGGCCTGCATGGAATAAGGCTCCGGCAACAGACAAATGAAGGGATATTCCAAGAATCTCAGAGCCAAATGAGAACTGGAGAGGTAAGAGGTCACATTCCCCGTATGAGCGCAAGTGCCAAACACGGCTGAACAGCTTTGGGAAACTACCCGATATAAGCAGTGGGGCTATTCACATGACGCAATTTCCCAGCTTGCTTACTTATTTATGTATTTCATTTCCATGCCACTCGGGAGCTGAAAGGGCTCTTTAGCCCACGTGTGGGGCATCTACAGCCCACAGGGGTTGTTACGAGGGGCGTTCAATGTAGTCTCGGTATCAGCATTAAGAAAAAGGAATAATAAACTGAAATAATTTTTATTTTTCAATGTAATCCCCCATAACTTCAATACACTTATTACATCTAATAATTAACTTTTCAATTCCCTGTAAAAAATACCCTTCCTCCTTGTCTAAAAAATGTGCGTTAATTGCCGCCTTGAGCTCTTCATTGTCAGAAAATCGCTTTCCACGAAGATCTTTTTTTAAATTCAGGAACAGGTAGTAGTCACTGGGGGCCAGGTCTGGGCTATAGGGTGGGTGGTTTATTTCTTCGAAACCACAGTCTCACACAGCAGCCTTCGAAACATGCAGCGTGTGAAGGGGCGCGTTGTCGTGAAGAAGCAACACACCTGCAGTCAGTTTTCCCTGCCTTTTTTCCTTAATTGCTTCTCTTAAATTACACAGAGTGGTTGCGTAAGATGCTGCGTTTATGGTTTCACCTTTTTTCGTGTACTCGATCAATAAAATTCCCTTCGAGTCCCAAAACACTGTGGCTATGATTTTTCCGGCCGATGGAGTGACTCTGAATTTCTCTGGAGGGTCAGCACCTTTTTTATGCCACTGCATGGACTCCTGCTTACTTTCAGGGTCATAGTGATGAACCCAAGTTTCATCTCCAGTAACAATCCGGTCGAAAACAGTCGATGGATCTTCACCACAGAGCTCTAAAAACTCCCCACAGCACTCAACTCGCACGTGTTTCTGAGGCGCCATGAGCATTCACGGCACCCATCTTGCACAGACCTTGGAAAGGTTAAGATGGTCATGAAAAATAGTGAATATGGTACCAGCAGATAGGTTTGTCATCTCTGCTAACATTTTGATTTTTATTTGGGCATCTTCCAATACAAGTTTCTCAACATTTTTTTCACATTTTCTTTCGTAGTGGCATAACCGGCTCGCCCGAGCGAGGGTCGCCTTCAGTGCTTTCTCTGCCCCTTTTAAATTCACTTGACCACTTTTGAACAGTAGATAATGAAGGTGCAGAGTCCTGGTAAACGGCCACCATCTCTTTGTGAATGATTTTTTGACTTTTTCCTTGTTTTGTAAGGAACTTAATTACAGTGCGGTGTTCAGTTTTCTTCAACACTGTCATGTCAGTCATCATGATCATCTTTCACTGAGGATTACTAGGGAACTAATGATCACACTTATTTGAAATTTTGCATGTATATCCTCAGATAGTGTAATTAGTTAATGAAATAATTAAATTACCCACATCAATAGCAAATCAACCCGATACCGAGAATACACTAAACGCCCCTCGTATGTCATGTGAACCCGCAAATATACTATGCAAAGGCGAAACAGCCTTACACAACCACACTTACAGGGTTTGCACAGTGCAACAGCCTCCGACGGGGGCTGCACGTGCAAACAGGTGCCTGAGGGCCCTGCAGCTCAGGGCGAGTTCGACAGCCCACTGCAGGTCAAGGCGGGGTGTTCAGAACCAGTCGGTGTCAGCAGCCCAACCAAGCAAAGAGAGCAGCCCCCTCGCGGGCTCCTACCTCGCTCAGGCTTTTCGGGAGACTGCAAACGAGAAGCCCCACTGCAGCTCTCCGCTTCTGCGTCAGGACGTGGGTCAGGATTCCGAGGGGGCAGGTCAGATCCTGTGTCCAGCTCTTCAGCGACTGCAGCCTGGCTGTCCCCCGTGGAAATGCCCATGTCTGGGCAAAGTACCTGCGCTTCACCACCGGACGGTGCCTCTGCGGAAGCGGATGTCACGGTTCCTTCAACTCCGATTGCAGCCGCTTCAGCCACATCGCCCTCTTTGGGGACCGCTGATTCTGTTTCAACAGAAATGGCAGGTGGCTATTATAGTTATTTATTTATATTTAAAATTTTTGCAGGTGGCTTGCTTGCTTTTATATGTGTGTGTGAGTGTGTGTATGTGTGAATGAGAGAAAGACTTTTGTATACCATCCCATCACAGACATCTCAGGACTGTTTACAACAACAATAAAATAGAAGAAAGAGTAGAACAGCATCCAGTATTAGGTGTAAAACCACAGATTAAAACGAATTAGCAATTAAAATATTGGAAGAATAAAAAGGTTTCCACCTGGCGCTGAAAGGAAAAAAGCACTGGCTTTAGAAATCTACTAAATTTCTACCATGCCTATTAGCCAGAATGATTGTCTGGGCAGCTTACAAAAGATAAACCACCATAATGCAAGGTGGTTTAGTTGCTTGGTCCAAGAACTAGGTTGCATGTTCAAAACTGTGGTTGAGACCCCATCAGTGAGGGTATTCAAGAAAGACTGGACAACCACATGTTGGGGGATTACATGAGCGGAGCCAGCTGGAGCTGGGGGTCAGAGTAGATGGCCAGGCAGACCCCTTCTGACTTGCTTGGTTTCTAAGTTTCTAACTAAAGGAATTTTGTGTTATTTTTGGCTCATAATAGGCAATGACAGAACAATATCTAACACAAACAGCTTCTGCACTGAAATATTTAATTCTATGCAGAACAGCAGCCTTAAAATTGTAATCTCCCCCGCTGTTCGCTTTGACGTCAGGCAGATTTTTCCAGGTTTTTCACAACAAAACCTACTCCTGTTCCCAGAATTCTGCACCTGAGGAACTGCTTTTGCAATACTGCACTCTGCTTTCAGAACACCTAGTGCCGCCCCTTGGCCTGCTCCAAGCTGGTAGAGGGAAAGGGCCCACACAGAATTGGCTCGTGAGATCGCAATGGATGAAGCAGCCCTGAGGGCACGGGGAGCTTGAGTTCCACCAAGATTCAGGGAGAGCTAAAGAAGGGCTATGCAGAAGCAAAAGCAGACCTCCCAGGAAAGAGCTTTTTACGGGCGATTTCTCGCCACTGAGCTTATGCTTAATTCCAGCCAGTTTCAAAAGCAGCGCTCAATGGAAAGACTCCTGCTTAGAAAGCGTCTCGCTGCAGGACACCTCACAGGCACTCTCCGGCCCACCTGCTCGCTATCATTACGATTACCAGCAGGGAGGTGATCCCGATTCTGCATTACTCTTGCGTTCAGACCCTTCTGCCTGGTTCTGCAATTAGAAAGTACGCACATGTATTCTGTTTTGGTAAAACTAATTCAGCTCCTACCTGCCCGTGGGTGCTCAGAACCTGTTTCTGCTTCAGATGTCTTGCCTATATTCACATCTTCCGCTCCTTCTGTTGCCTTACTGTCCTCGAATTCTTCTCCCCCTTCAGTTATTTTCTCCTCCAAATCGTCTCCCTCTTCCCCTTTAGCTCCCTGCCCGTTTTCTTCTTCAGTGTCGACAACAGAGCTCTCCTCAGAATCCTCTGCCTCAGCCTTAAGCATTTCATCCCCTTCCAGTGATTCATCCCAGCCACTCATTCTGGCTTCCAGTCGCGCACCATCTGGAATCCCTTCTTCTTCCGGACCAGCAGAAGATGCATCATCATCATCTGGCTCGGCCATTGGCATCACTGTGTCTTCTTCTGGCATTATTCTGGCATCAAATTCTTCCACGCTTCTGCTACTGCAAACGCCACCTTCCTCCTCCTCCTCCTCTTCCTCCTCCTCCTTTTCTACCTCCTCCTCCTCTTCCACCTCCTCCTCCTCCTCCTCGCTGCCAACCTCATCTACCGTAACAAAGTTAAGATCTTCTTTGAAGCGATTAAACTCTTCCAGGAAATCTTCATCATCTTCTGTCACTTCATCCAAGGTCACCAGTGGCTGGTCATCGCTATCCTCGTGGATTTCATCCACTGTCACTAACACGCTAGGATCGTCGGGCATCTGGGAAGAAAGGAAATCCGCAGAATCTTCAACGGGTTTCTGATCGTCCTCCCTGGGCTTGAGGGCTTCCTCGTCCTTGAAGTGCGAAGGCTCGTTCAGAGGCAGCTCTTCCACTTCCCCGATCTCGTCCACCGTCAGCAGTGGCTCAGCTTTGAGATCAGGCTCAAGGTCCCCAGGCAGGAAGGCATCTTTGGCAGCCGCGTCTTCTGGCTCAGAGATCTCATCCAAAGTAACCAGGGCCTGGGGATCTTGGATAACGTCATCAATCAGTTCCTCCTCCTCGTTCACCTCATCCACCGTGACCAAGGCCTGAGGATCTGGTGCGACTTCGAAGTCTGTCAGTTCTGCCGGGGCCATCCCACCCTCGTCTTCTCCGATCTCATCCAGCGTGACGAAGGAGAGCTCGCTCTCAGCAGCACGCGCAGCGGAGGTCTTGCCCTTCCTCTTCTTCGAGCTGGGTTCATACGGAGAGGGCTTCTTGGAGAGGTCCTTCCTTTTGCCTTTCACAGGGTTTCTCCGGGGCTGTGAGGGAGAGTCCGCTTCATCAGTAACTTCATCCATTGTGACAAACTCATCCAAGTTGAATGGAGAAAGCTCCTCTTCCTGCGAAGCAAGAAGATCAAGCCCAGGCTTTTAGCAAGCAAGAGACGCTTCTCAGAAGCAGACCCACAACAATCAACCCATGTGCAGCGCTGCTCAGGAGAGCGGCAGAGGGAAACTGGAGGCCACCACGGCTATCCGAGGCATTCTAAAGTGCAAAAGCAGACCCTACTACCCTTCCCCCTCTGAATCTCCAAGAAATCCAGCTAGGAGTTGGGGGGGAAACACTCTTTCTTCTCTTCTGCCTGCTTCTGTGGGGCTACTGCATCGGCCATCAGAAAGCTAGATTCCCCAGTCCCTCATTACATTTGGATGCCGGAAAGCACTTCCTGACAGTGAGGACCCCGAGGATATGGAATGGGCTTCTATGGGAGGTGGTGGAGGCCCCATCGGTGTGGGTGTTCAAGGACAGGCTGGACATACACATGGTGGGCACGTCATGAGCAGAGCCGGCTGGAGCCAGAGGTCAGACTAGATGGCCTGAGAGGCCCCTTCTGACTCACTCTGTTTCTGTTTCCCTCTCTCCAGTACTGTTAATTGCATAGGCTGGTTCTTTCACCTATATATAAGATGCACAATCCCACTCCTCAAAACTGAACCAAAGCCAAATTCCTTCACTTGCCTGTCACTCAAAGAAGAACTCAGAGAGAGGCTGGGGTGGGGAGCCAACTTTCATCTTGTTTCCCCCCACTGAGGAGATAAGCCTTTATGTTCTGAGGGCCGGCACCTTCGGGCTTCTCTGGCTGGGGCATTTGACCTGACCTTCCCCAACAGGAAGTTGCTATGAAGAAAAGAATCCTCTCGAGAACTCGCTATGAGGGGCGGTTCTAGTGGCGCCTGGCATGCTTCTGATTGCAGCACTGCCCCCCCCCCCCGCGATTCCATACCTCCTTTGGCTTCGGGTTGGGTTTTGAGGCTCTTGGATTTCTCCCAGTGGATACCTGAAAAAAAGTGTTTTAGAGTGGGTGAAAAAGACAAGCACCGTAACACCTGACTCCCCTTCAAACAGAGATGAAGTTCATGGCATGCTCAGCAGACGGAGATCGTGGCGCTGTTTTTTACGGTCCAGGTACTGAGTGCATCAACTATGCTGTGGATACCTTCTCTCCTTCCAGCAACCGGTCGGCACGAGCACGGGAAGCGTCACCTTGCAACAGAGGAGGCGGCACCAGTGGCAGGATGCAGAACGAGACTCGCCCGCTTGGAACCGCACCGCCAACAGCTGACGCGCTTACCCTCGGATTTACCCAGAAGAAGTCATCGTCCTTCACAGCCATCCTGGGAAACCTTTTCACCCTGCGTGTCCCGGGTACCGCAGCCCGCTGCGTGGCGCCAGGCTACTTCCTGGCCCCGCACAACGGAACGGTTTACAGACAAGGGGAAGGGAGTGGGAGCGAGCTACCGCCGCACCTCTGCTTCAAGGCCTGGAAGAAGCACCAGTGTTAGTTACCGGGCAGGCATACCGAGCCAGGGCTTTTGCCCTTCCTCACCTTGTTAGTGCTGTTGTCTCTCTTCACGCTGGGCGATCTATTCTCTCGCTCCCGGGTCTGCTTTGGGCTACCCTTAGTTTCCACTTGGGAGTCCTTGTCTTGCTGCGAGGAGCTCTTTCCACTGCCTACCACAAAGACGAGAGATCTTATGCTCGGCTTCGGTCTGCCGTTATCCGGCAAATGCGTCTTGCTGGTAGGCCTTTGCTGACTCGCCTCCTTCGACACAGGTTTCTTCTCGGTGCCACCTCGGTTCTTGGTGACAGGCTTCACGGTCGTCTTCTGCTGCTCTTTTCTCTGCACTGCAGCTCTTGTCCTTGATATGCCTGGAACAGACATCAAAGCCTTCAGGATCATTTTGCTAGCAGACGTACCCTCCGCACTGGTTGCTGGTTCTGCTGCGAGCATGCTAGTTTTATGGGATTCATCGGTTTCTGCTTGCTGTGGTCCTTTGCTTGGCTGTGCCTTGGCAGGATTTTGTCCAGGATCCTCTTCCTTGGTGTTTTTTTCAGGTCTCTCCTCCCTGCCTGCTGCGTCAGTCGGCCCCCGCTCCTCGGGGTGCTTCTCCACAGGTGCCTGAGCCGGGGCCATTTGCAGCACGGGCTTCCCCGTTAGGGTCTCCTCGGCCTCCACCACTGTCGCCTCCAACTCTGCCTCCATGCAGGGTTCAGCGGGGAGCACGGGGCTCTCAGACTCCTCATCTGCTGCCGTCCCACCTCTAGTGTCGGGCTTTTCTGCCTCTTCTGCTACGGCTTCGGCACTGCCTGCTTCTGGAGCTATGGTGCTGCTACTTGCTAGGAGCTCATTTCCTGGCGGGGCCTCTGCGGGACCTTCCGCGGAGTCCAGCGTGACCCGCTCGGGGACAACGGCAGCCGAGTCCTCCCGCTTCACTGCCTCGGCAGAGTCTGTGCCAGTGCCACCCTTTGTGGCCACGCCGTGCAATGCCTCCGAGGGTTCGGCAGCAGGAGCAGCCAGTTCCTCACTTGTGCTCCCCCCTGTGCAGGTGGACGCACTTCCTTGCAATTCAGCGTTAGGGTTCTCTGTGCCTTTCCCTTCATTCTCGTGTTCAGATGGCAAAGCAGGAACTTCTTCCAGCTGTACTTCCGGTAAGTCCAAATCAGCGGGGACACTGGCTGTCGCTGCTGTTCCGGTACCAGGGTCCTCTTCGGACGCTCCTGCGTGCAATGGTTTTGACGGAGCACCACATACCAGAGCCTCTGCCTCCAAGCGCTCTGTCTCCCCTTCTGGAACCTTAGCCTTCAAGTTAGAATGGGGCTCTTCCTTGGCCTCAGGGGGCTTTGCTGGGGGAGCGGCAGATGGCTGCACCACGCCTGATCCTTCAGGAATTGTTTTCAAGTCAGGGCTAAATATATTTAAAAAAACAGAAGAAATCAAGCTATGCAGACAACTCCACAGTTATCAATAACTTCCTGGCGCCAGCGGCTGGGGTTTCCTGAGGCCTTAGAGCTGAGCACTGGGAAACCAAACCTACCATCTAAGCTGGCCTCAATATTGTGCCAAACCCTCTCGCCTCTCTCTCTATGCCGCTTGAGTGTAGTGGGCGTGTTAAGGTGGTTGTGTGAGGTGGTCCTCTGGAGGCAGTGTTCGCTACAGTGTTGCTCTGTAGCCCTGGAGCGGACAGGGCACCTCACAGGTTGGGCATGACAGCGGACAGAACACAGGCACACACAAAGAACACATGGCTCTGCTTCTGGATAAAGCTAATTTAGGTTAGGACAGGAAACTTTCTGATATGTTGACCACCTTCCTTTGGCTTCACGTCAGAAACTGGGGCACCTAGTGGGCTGTTATGTATGGAACTGAATGAACCGGGGTAGGAGCACAGGGAGTGGAAACATCTACGCATGCGTGGACGTTTGAAGAACCTTCGGTCCAGAAAGCGGCATGACTTTATTTCGTGTTTCTAATGGCTCCCAAAATAATTTAGCTTACGGAAACAATGCGCGGGACAGCGTGTCACAAGGTGTTTCCACTTTCAAGGAACTAGTTTAAGAGCACGAGAGCAGCTCTGCTAGGTAAGGATCGAGGATCCCGCTTGTCCGGACAGCGGACAGGCAAATGTGCGCTAGGCGGCTGCAAGGAATGCATGCAGCAACATCGTCCAATTTTCCTTTATGGGGGGCAGCGGGTGTTTTTCAAGATGGGGTTGTAGCCTTGCTGTGATGACCTAGGAAAGGGTGCTGAGTCATCACGTACCACCGCAGGAAAAAGAGACCCATACGTAAAATTTAGATCTGTCATCATGTTTGTAGGATGGGTGAGAGGGAAGCCCGTCACGACACAGGCACAAGACGAGCGAAGCAAAGATTAATTGTGTTGAGTGCGCTGCAGTCTACAGAAGCGAAAGAATTCAAGTGTACAGAAAGCACTTACAGGCGATGAACTGCGCCCGCCTTTGTGTCAGGAAAGAGTGGCCCTCAGAGTCACCTTGGATCATGAGAACAATGAGCCCTGGCGGAGTAGGACCCATTCCAGAAGATGGTCCAACAGCTCTGCACACAGAACCAAGTATGCAAGAAATTCTCTGCGCACAGTACCAAGCATACAAGAAATGCTCTGCGCACAGAACCAAGCATGCAAGACACTTGTTCAGTTGATGGAAAGGCTTTTAGAGGCCGAGCATGGATCGGCCTGACTTTTATACCCAGAAAGGGCATGCAGTGACAGAACCTGCAATTAACGAAGCACTGCAAGATGTGCTGTGCTGGCATGCGGAGGAGAGTCCGCGCATGAACTGAACACAGGTAAAGTCCCTGCAGCTTCTGGCAAACAGGTGTGATCTTCCAGCCGTGGGCGATGAGGTGAAGTTCAACATCAAGGTGTTCATATGATGGACATGTAAGGCACCCCGAATAAAATCCTGAACAATGCACAATGAAACGGTCTGGAGAGGTTGTTGCATGGCTTTGCTTCAAATTTAAAAGTTGCCCACAGCCATGCACAGAACAAGCTTGAACTGTGAACATCTTCAAAATGAGCGTAACACAGATATTCCTTCCTTTTGGGCTTTCATCAAAAAGAATAAAGAGGTACCATGCACATGCCTTTTTCGGGTGAATTCAAGCAGGCAAATCACCAGATTCAGACTTACTTGCCAACATTAATGAAAGACTATTCAGAGTCCCCAATCAAAAGAATGCAGTCTGCCACAAACAAGGACAGCTGTCTGCACCGCAGATCAATGATTTAAATGGAACTGGGCGTAAGCAATTTATTTTGGAATTCCCAGAACATTCTCTCAGAACGAAACACCTTCTGGTGCTCTGAGTTCTTCAGAAGCCCAAAAGCATTAGACAAAACAAGAATTCATAGGCAGTAATGAAGCGCTGTGTAAAAGGGATGGAACAATGCAGGACCAACCATAAAGAAATGTGAGGAATCACTCTGAACAAAGAGGCAAGAATTAAAAATCTTGACTTAAGGCAGCACCATAAAGCCTCACTGGAAGTGCATCTGTCCACAAAAGTGCTTCTGCGCAAAGGCAGTTGCTGCAGTCTTGTGTCCTCTTCAGGCTACAGAACAGCCGAACAGCGAACAAGAGCAAAGAAGGCCGTGACACACGTGGCGTAAACCCTGCTATTGCTCAGCCAGTCTTCAGTCATCTTAACGCAGCTCTGGAAAAAAAGGTTGACGGAAGCATGCCACCAGGGCACAGAAGGAGGAGACGGAGGGTATTCAGGCAAGCTGGTCCATCGCCCCATCGAGAAAGCGAAGTGAGCAAGCATCTGCCCTTTACTCACACTGGCTAACGCTGACTAAGTGTTAAAAAGCATTTCAAGGTTTCCTGAAGTGACTCTGAACAGCCTAAACCCAGGAGTGCAATTCCCATTTGTTCCCCAGTGCAACGGGGCAAGGGCCCCAAGGCAAGGGAAAACCTGTCTCATTACTGTACTCTGTGGCTTAAAGTGTGTCTTCTCCACCGTATCGGTGCTTCAGGTGACTGTGTAAGGGCGTGCACTGTGCTGATGGGCAAAGAAACTATCTCAGCATCCGTTTAAACGGTTCAGTGAAGGACAAGTCTTGAAAATAACAACTTTACGTGTCTACCAACCACACTGATGTCTGCACAGAAAGAAGACTTTTATATGCAAGGCATGTACAGAAATATGCATGAAGCTGGCCCAAACAGGGACACTGCGAAGCCACTCTGTAACACGAATCCCTCAATTCAGCCTGGGGGTTTCTCCCAACCCTCCATCCCCCTGTAACTTATCAGGACCCGGCTTTTACACTCACGGAAGGAAACAGCGGATCAGTGCCCGGGGGTACGCAAAGTGTACATATACAGCAGTAGGAACATGTGTTGCACTTGTGTCGCAGGTGCACACAATCCGTAACTAAGCAGGCTGAATGTGTATACATTAGCACTCTGGGAAAAAAATGCCATTTTATTGGTTGTGAAATAGATACATACAACCTGCCCAAGATCTACAGTGTCATAAAGAAAAACACAGGTGTAATTTTCAATTGTAAGTGGAGCACATTTATTTACACTACATCTGTAGGCTATACAGCTATGTAAACATCTTTCTTTTAAGAAGAATCTGGCGAGGCAGAAGTCATTCAGAGAGCAAATATCTCCTGTTTCAACATACATAAAATGACCTTTACTCCCTCATTCATCTATGCTCTATGGAAATAAAACTAATTCCAATGCAGCCATTTAAATCTGTGTTAACTCACCCATAGTTAATTATGTACTGACAGGATGCGTCACGCACTTAGCATGTTCTTTGACATACTTTAAACCGTACTGCCCTTTTCTGACATCTGCTCTATCACACTCAAACGGTTTGATAGTTTCAAGCAGAGCAGCTTCAGAACCAAACATGAGCGGCATGGAAAACTGATCACAATAAATAGTTTCAGAAAGGCACCAATCAGATATTTGGAGAGATTTTGAGAGAAGTTCTGAAAGCACCTGGATTGAAAATAATCTGCCGGACACATATAATGACATGTATTATTGCAATATGTTAGCGGAATTGTAATTGCTGTGCATTCATCTGAACTGCTGAAATCGGGAAGACCTCCTGTGTATGGTTTAGGCTGCATCCCACTAAGGTCGTTGGCCAAGTCCCACCCATGTTAAAGGGACATTCAGAATATGCGTGTTGCTTTTAGCCACGGCTACTGAGTGACCAGTGCAGAACAGAGCAGGAAGAGGAGACTAAGTCCTTTCATAGATTTCTTAGCTCCTCTAAAGAAATCAGAATGCAAAGCTTACCAGGGAGAGGAGAGCCGGAGAATTAGTTGGCCTTGCTCATTCATGAATTAACACACACAAACACACACATGCTTCAAATATTAATTAAAAATCATACCTCTCTTTGACAGGCTCTTGCTTTCTGACCTCTTTTCTTGTGACCTCAGCCTGTAAAAAAGGAAAAAACACTTGCAGTGGTTCAGAAGACGTATCATGCCAATGCACCTGCCCAAGCACAAGTGAAAAAAGAGGACTGGCGCCACTTCCTGCACTCAAATACTTCTGGGCAGCACAACAGAAAAAGAAACCGGGGGGGGGGGGTGAAATGGAGACCTACGTGAATCACATCCTCCACAACGCACCTTTCAATCATACAGTGACCGCATCCCCTGCAAGTTACACCTGACCCGGACCCCAGACCAATTCCAACCTTCAAGGAAGCTTCTAGACAGGCGCCTCTCCATCTGCCCACAACCCTCCCCTTAAAACAATGAAGAGGGAAAGGGAAACCAACGAGCATTAACATCAAGCATCTGCATTCAGGTTAATGCTTCACAGTGGCTTAGCTTTACGGAGGCCGCAGAGGCGGAAAGCGTGGACCCAAATGACTGCTATGCACTTACTGTCAAAGGCTCGATCTTGGGTGAGCGCGAGAACGTTAACTGTGACTCCCCCAGACTGTAAGGGTACCTCTTCAGGAAGCGACACATGGATGCGGCCGACTCGGCGCTCTCCAGCTGAAGGATTGCCTTGAGAGTTCAAACACAGGTTACTTAATGGGGGGCGATGGGATTTTGGGCAACGGGGGGCACACGTGAGATGGACCCTCCTCCCCGGCCCACAAGTCTGGCTATGTTCTTTAGAGAAGAGGGTGCTGATGCTTTTAAGCTTCCTGTCCTGACCAACCAAACAAGAACAGAACACCTTTGCCAGTGACGTGCTTGCAGAAGGTGAGAACAAGAGCTAATGGCAGAGCGACGTTATTCACCTTGTTCTTGTTTGTTATCACCATGTAGTGATCCACTCGTCCAAATCGAAGTCCAACACAGAGTATTTCAAGTTCTGAATAACCACCATCTGGCAAGTTGCCCAGATGCACAAACTGGGTATGAACAGCTTCTGTATTCACCTGGGAAAAGAAAGCAGAGGCGCCCATGCAAGCAGTGGCTTCCCAGAGGACGGATTTTGCCCAGAGCTTGGCCAATCAGGATAGAAAGTTCCCCCCCCCCCACTGTGAGCGAGCATTTTGTTCTTTCTCTCATTTCTCTCTCGTTTGGCTCACTTGCTTGAGCTGTCTGCTAAGTCTATCCTGCGCACACCGCAGCCGCGCCTCAGTTCTCGTTCCTGCTCTTTGTGTGCACCATTTTGAGATCTATCGCTCCCTCCCAGCTCTCTTCCAAAAGTGAGGACCAGTCTTGCCTGCCACCACTGCTTCACATTTTCAGTATAAGCGAAACACAGGACACTCCGGCGCTCTGCAGTGAGCTTTACTGGTTCAGCATCGTTCGTTTTCCCATCCCACTTCTAGTTACAATATAGAATTAAGCCCTGAACAAAGATGGCCAAAGCTCAAAACCAAAAGAAATGCCCATTCTTTGCAAACTACTGAACATTCTGAAATTCACAAATCATGGAAGACAAGCGCTACTTCATTGGTTGCCCTCAGCCCCCTTGCCCATCCTGAAGGCTTAAGCCGAGAGGCAAAAACTAATTAATGGCCCCTTGGTAATATTTCTGCCTTCTTACCTTTGGATTGACTTCTTTAATCATGGTAATAAATATAGCCTCCTAAAGAAGAAAGGACCAAGAACATTTACTTAGTGAATATGGGATATGTCCACCTATTTATACATTATACGAAGATCACACCCATTTGGGTTGGATCTAATTTTCTGCATTGTTATTGCTTGAATTTCTAGCCTTGGCCTTACTTTATGAGGCTATTCCTCCCCGTATGCACCTAAAATGTTTATCGCTTCATGTATCTGATGGGGGGGGGGGGGGTTCCAGCCTCTGAAAACGTTTGCTACAATAAACATGCCACTTTTTAACAAGTCACTACGTTCTGATTTGGCTCCTTTTCTGGAATGAATTTTCAACAGACATTTAGGCTGACAAGAACCCTTGGGAATATATGTTGATGTGGATAGCCATTGACCAGCTCTGCTTTCATTATGGTCTTCCACTTCCAGAAGACTTTCCCAAGATGGTAATTCAGTAAGTATACACTAGATCAACAGGTAGATTCAGGCTCCAAAGGTAGATGCCTGGATCATCCCATCTGGCATTAGGGTCTTGCACTTGGATGTCAAGCTAAGCATGCTTAACTAAAACCACATCATGAAGAACTTTCGCCTGAAGCAATAAAACTGGAACCCACCAGTGAGGAAGGACAGGCAAGTGGCTCCAGACAGACAGCATTTCTCAGCTATTCTCAACAGAATACACCACCAAGAAAGCATCAGCTATTGGGTGGTACAGAAACGAAATACATAAAAGGAATGAACCCGTCCTGTTAACCAACCTCATTCGTGAGATCCTTGAACTCGGGTACTGACGTAATGCACAGCTGGTTATTTTCCACCCACATTGGAAAGCAGGAATAAAATTTCACCATGGACTCTGCTGATTTGCGACTTATCTCTATATATGCCTTTGGAAAAAAGAAGGAATCCCCGTCAGTTGCCTGATGACTTTCCTCTCCCAAATTAAAGCAACATGCAGAATTGTTGGTGGTTCTCCAAGAACGCTGAGCATTGCTAAGTGATCAGTGCCGCACTTCTCCGTTTGAAAGCCTTGAAATAATTTGCATACCTTCTTATGTGAAGACACAATTAAGACATCTTTCACTTTCCCAAAGGGCTTGGTTAAGTTTGAAATCTCATCCAGAGTTAGCCCTGCCTCAGGCAAGTTGGAAATAAGCACTACACACATCTCTTCTGCATCCTAGAAAAGCAAAAAGGATAGGTCAGAATACTTCATGCCGCGTTTCCCAACGCTTAGCTTACTCTTTCTCACTTTCTCCAAACTTCAGCACAAGTGAGAGCAATCGCGGTCTTCACTTTTGTGAAAGGAAAAGCACTCAGGCTCCCTCTGTGGCAGAGACAGGACCAGTTCACACAAACACGGCCGCCCACCAGGCTGTATACTGAGGTCACAGGGAATCCTGGCATATGCTGGCCACCTGTCTTCCCGTTTCACCCGCAGCCTTATCAAGCCCTGTGCATCTGGCAAGGTGAGAGTTAAACAACTGCTGCATAATCCATGGGCTGATTTAGGGTTACGCGCAGCTGTGCATAAACTTAAGCAAGTCTCACTAGGCTGCTACAGAATAAGCCTGGCCTTGCTAAACCCTGAATGTTCAAAAGGCTTGGGGTGGATAAATAAGATGTGTTGGGCTGGTCAGTCTTCTCTCATTCGTGCTGAGGAACGGGTGCAAAGAACTCATTATCGTTTCTAGCCTCCTGCAGGAAAACTGAGCAGTGAGGTCTCTCTCACTTAGATACATGTTTTCCCAAAGGAAGCTTGGAAATCTGGAGTCTAAATAACCATTATTTGTTTCTATTTTCCAGAGAGCAAAGGTGAAGGTGCATGGCTGCAGCAGTGTGCATTTTCTCTCATCTTCTCCCACTCCCAATGGAAGACGCACTGGCATCTCTCTTGGAGAGAGAGAGAGGAGGTGAGCACCAAGTGAGCTGGCCAGAAAGTCAAACGCTTCACCACACCAAGCTGGCACAACCTGGGGTGGCGGCATTTTTCTTAATTTTATTCTTAACCGTGACGAGCCTACAGAGTATCTTGTAACTGTGAGAGACACCCACACTTTAAGCATACATGTCACGTTTCTGAAGGCTGTACAACATTAAACCATACAGTATCCAAGAGAAGGACAAAGACTTGGGGGAAGTTATCAGCACCCTGCAAGCCCACGAGATGACAGGGAAGAGGACTGGGAGTGGTGAATCCTACAGGAGCACCATGACCTGGATGAGCGTTCCTCAGCCCAGAATCCTCCAGGTGCTTCTAATTCCCATCAGCCCCAACTGGCGTAGGCCAAGGTCAAGAATATGGGGAATTTTAGTCCCAAAGACAGGCCAAGGAGGGCTGCCCTATCCATGGGCACCCTCATGCAGTCTTGAAAGGATTTGTGAAGGGGCGAACGGTCCGGCAGCTAAGGCAGTGCAAGCAGGATGACCCTGCAGGACGCAGGAAGATGGGGCAGCCCTCTCATCGCGTTGACATTTGCAGACCTACCTTGGTGACTAATCCACTTGCTTGGGTGCCCTTTGCAGCCTCCGCTGTACCTGTAATTTTAAGAGAGGAAAAGCTGGAGTGTCTTCTACTGAGTCAGAGTTATTTGGAAAGCCAAAATCCCAAACTAGGAAATCCCATGTTCCATCTACATTAGTTATTTTTTCAGGACAATGGTTTTGGGAATACGCAAGAAATAACTGTAACTTTCAAAAGTAGTCTTTCTCTAAAGACGTGATCAGCAGTACGTTGGGGAGGGAAGGAGGCATTTCCTCAGGCTGACAACTGGTAACGCCCCCCCCCCCCGCCCCCCGAGACAGAATCTCCACTGGCCAGCTCTGTGGGACCTCCAGTTCCACACCCACCGAAGGCTCCTGCACTCGCCACCTACTGAACTTTCCGGTCTTTTTGCAAAACCAGGAAGCTGTGAGGGGAGCGGAGGAGAGGGAGAGATGGCAGACTTGAGCGGTACCTGGCGCAGCTGCGGGTTGGTTCGTCTGCTTTGCTTTCAGCTGTACGGCTTTCTTGGGTTCCGTGGTTTTCTTGCTCTTTAGAGCCTTCTTGGTGTCTTCGGTCTTCCTGGGATCTGCGAGCCTCTTTGCTTTGACGGCTGCCTTTGCTGCTCCAAGCTTCTTGACCTCAGCAACCTTTTTTTCTAAAACCTTTTTCTGTTTTACAGTTACTTTTGCTTTTCCAACAGTCTGAGCTTTTCCAGGATCTTTGACATTAGGTTTTGCTGTGGTCAGACAAAGTATTTTTTTTAATATTGTCAAACAAGTGTGTTGATACAGTGCCATTAAATTCATCCTCTGAACCCTTGCCAGTTTGTCTGCATCTTTCTAGGTACATTTTAGAGAATGATTCAGAAATGCAACATTTCTAAGTTAAAAACCACATCTGTTTTCATCTCTCCAACAGAGAACACCCTGAGGCCCAAAGTACCAATTTGCAGAACCTGCCGTTCTGCAGAAGTTGACCAGGTCTGCATAAACCGGCAGCCCACTGCACCGAAACTGGCCCGGGGGCCTGCTGTGGCACCTGAGCGCGAGCCACTTCCAGGCCAACAAACCATTCTGCCAACCTACGTCTTGTCCAAGAGGGAGCTGCATCCATGAGGAACTGCTGAGCCGGCTGGACCCAGGCAACCAACCACACCATGCAGAAAGGGGAGCAGAAGCAAACCGCCCAGCAGAAGTGGCAAATGCGCTGCCCCGCCTGCCTCGGCCTCCACCTGCAACAACCTCTCCTCCCACTTCCCAAGCGAATCTCAGGACTGCACATGTTCTTGTCCAAGAAAGCTTTTTCGCTCTCTCCCAAGACTGGAGCTAAAAGGAAAACGGAGTTTTGAGAGCGGTCACAACTCCACACTCCCCCGAATGGGATGGCTTGTACCCCTTGACTTTCCTGAGCTCCTGGGGTCTTGGGAGGGTAGCAAAGGTTGGGGAGACCGAGGACAGTCAGGTCTAACCCAATAAACGAGTGCACCTCACCGGGAAGGGGGTGCTCTATATGCCACCCCCTCCCACGAGCAAAGATCACCTCATAGCTACTGGCCAGATATCAGGGAAGATTTCCTGGCTGTCAGGCACACCGTGGTTGTTCCATAAACGAGCCACGCTATGTGCGTACATGCAGTGCGCACTGTAGCACTATCTGAACACCAGCATCGTCACAAGTCTCCGTACAGCAACCATGGTTAGTGTTGACCCAAATACACAGAACCATCTTTGTCTCTGCTTAAAGATGACTGCGTCAAGAGAAGGTCAGGTTCTTGCATTCTGGAGAACACACGCATAAGCGCCGCAGGACGGAAGGAGAGCAGCCAGGAAGAAAAAAGCAACTGGAACTCACAGGCAGAGGCGACTGGTGCAGCCGATTTGTCCAGGCCTGGAGAAGATTTCGTTTGCTCTTTCCTAAAATGAAATAATTACAGACAGTAACTGCTAATTCATTCCCATTAAGCATAAAACCACACACATGGAGGCAGAACAAAAAAGTAAAAAAACTGACCGACCAAAGTAGATGATGTGAAACTCACTTTGTACTCAGAGGCAGCTTCTTGACTTTCTGTACAACCTTCTTCGCATCTGCTTTGTTCTGAAATGTAAAAGAAGTCTTTAACGTTCCCCAGAAAACAGCACCTTGGATTCTTTTATGAACAGGTCCATGCCACCTATGCCAGTCCTCCCCTCCACCGCTCCCGCTCGCTGCCATCAGAAAGAGAGGGAACAAAATGAAGGAATAGAGAAACTCAGGTGATATGGATAAAATAAATATTACGAGGGGAAACTTAAGCCAAAGCTAGCACCATGCGAAGAAAGCACACTGCCTGGGAGAGGGCGCTGGGGTGGGCGCCTGCAATCCATGCCGAGGGAGGAATGCTGGTGTTTCAAAACATCCTGTGAAGCCAGAGTGGGCAAACTCGCTTTGCGGGACCTACACCCCCGTTCTTAAAAAATGAGACCCGCAAGTTCCAACGCCCAAAGGGAAGAACTGATCTCTCGGGCAGAGTTCGCACCACACAACGGCTCTCCTGCTTTGGCAAAGTGCAAGAAACCCAACAGATGGCCGGGTGCATGCTACCTGGCCCCTTCCGACTCACTCCTCCACCCAGCCGCCCGGGGGGGGCTGCGGGGGGGGGGGGACGAGTCCCCCCTCCAAGGGCTGCCGTCAGAGACTCTCTGTTGCACAACAGAACTTGTGCCCTGAAGCGCGTCAAGTATTTTAACGGATTTCTACTATTAACAGAACAGAGCATATTACGAGTGTGTTACTGTCACTACAATGTTAGCTTTTTTGTCACTTTCTGGGTAAATGTAAATGTTGCTGTGCCCCCAGAGGTGGTCTAAAACATCTTAAAAGAAACACAGCGGAGTTCTAGCAGCCTCCTTCACTTCCGGCGAGGCCTCGCACGGAGGCCGCTGCTTTCGAGACAGTCCTCTGTCCGCAGTGTCCCGTGGTGAAGATGCAGCGGTCAGAGGTGACTTCCGCCAGTGGGGAGAGGGGTGCTTGAAAGAGTCCCTCTTTCCAGTGATCTGGGGCACGGTGATGTGGCTGCTCTGTTCCCACCCGCAAAGCCGGCTCCAGAAGGCGGTGGCGAGCGGCTTCCGTTTGGCCAGGCAGGGCTGCCCAGTTCCACCTTCTTCCCTACTTCCCCCATCTATGGGCAGGGGGGTGAGGGGAACCAGGGGTCTGGACCCAAGTGCTGCAGTATGCAGCCCACACAGCTCTGCCCCTCGGCACTTGAAACAGGCCATGTGGTGGAAACGCCGACTCCGCACTGAGTCGGGTCCAGCACTGAGTTTGGTGAGAGCCAGTCAACCGAAGAGGCCTCCCGACAGAAGGGATAACAGATCCTGCGGACGGCACTCCACCAGCACGCCCCTACCCTCTCTACACCACACCTCGAGGGCTCGCCGTCCTGGATGTGGCGCTGCCACCCCAATGCGCCCTGTGTCCTCTGCTGCTGGATGCGGTTTTGCCAACCGCGACCACTGCCGGCCACAGAACCTGTGAAGATCACCTGGGAGCTACACGAAGCAGAGAACTGGCCTTCCGCTGCCCACTGCACCCACATCGCACGCTGTTCTGAGAAGTGCTCGTTGGCTGCCTCTTAACCAAGCACAGTAGTTTAGGGAACGCCCCCTTTCCTGTGTCACCATTTCTACACAAGAGGGCCGGTGGTCTTGGCCACGGGGTCCCGTATGTGCAATGCGCTTTCTGAGGAGGCTCGGCAGGCCCTGGCCATGCTTTAGGCACTAGGCAACATGTTTTTATTCCCTCGGGCATTTAAAATTTTCCTGGATGCTATACGTGCATTTTAATTTTGCTTGCACTATGTTCGTCTACTGTTCTAAGACACCCTGGAATACAGTAGGATATTAATATTTTAAATAAAGTAGTAAATAGAAGACACCCCTAGGGGGGAAAAAACCCTAGTCAAACAGATACTGTGGGATTATGATAAGTTAAATAAGCACTGATCTTTAACTGGCCCAGAATGCCTCGGCTTACCTGGCTGGGAGGCGTTTTGGATTTCTCTGCTACACTTATTTTGACATGCTTGCCATTAATCAAAACTGGAACAGTTTCACCATATTTGACGGCTGCAATAACTGCCTCCTTATAATTCATTTCGAGGAAGGCCTAAGGGAGAGAGATTTTTTAAAAATGCTTTTTGATATCTTGTTTGAGAAAAGGGGCACCAGAAAACTGCCGAATGACAGCCAAGCGAAGACTGCCCCTAGGAAGGCAGCAAATACCCTTCCCTGCTTTTGGAACGAGTCCATACTGCTGCTGTAGCTATGCAGTGCTGCATTCCTACTATTAATAGGCAAAAAGCCAAAAAACAGGATAGCCATAAATGTAGTCTTCAGAATGTTCGCTTTGCCGCAGAAAAACACAATAAAATCACAAAATGCTTAGCTGCATTGTATCTGGCTATTTTAAACGCTTAAGACCAAGAGCAGACGGGTTTCCTGGTGTCGGTGAGCCTGTTTACTCATCCCTTGCTCCTGAAAGTGGCTCCCTGGGAAGAAGCCCCCGGTGGAGGGAGGGGGGAGCCCATGAAGGGAAGAGCTTGACACCTCTCTCTTGACACCTTTGAGCCCTGGCAGGGCGGAGGAAGACCAAAGCAGCGAGACAGCCGACCATCCGGCTGTAAGTGAAAGCGCCGTGCATGCCTCATGAGAAACTACCCTGGTTAGAGTGCCGCGGGGACTACAGAGACCCTGGCTCAGGTCTTCACGAAGCCATAAGGTTCTGAGACCAGCCTCAGATTTTCAGCCTAACCTCACAGGGCTGCTGTGAGGATAAAATGGAGGTGAGACGGATCCTGCATTCTAGCTTGGGCTCCTGGGAGAAACAGGCTAGAAATGTAACACATCAATAAATCGAGTACATAGTACTCCAAGAGCCAGTGCTGGAAAGAACTGGGGATGGGAGCAGAAACACAGCTGGCCTTGAACCGCCTCCGGATGCAAGCTGCATCCTACACCAAAGTTCTGCCGCCGCCAGGGCTCAAAGGTTTCCCACACTACTGCCACGTGTAGAGAAGATGGACACTTCACGGAAATGCTGTCTTAGGGATTTAAGATGCTACTTACCTCATTTTTGGAACGAAGCACTAAAATGTCACTAACTTTTCCAAAGGGCTGAACAATTTTTTTAATATCATGATCTGAGAAGCCATCATCTGGTAAATCGGATATTCGAAGGATGGTGCCACAGCTCCAGGCTCTGGCTGACAAAAGCTGCAAGTTAAGCAACATTTTAGAGTAGGTCGTAACCTCTCAAATGTGCTCTCGCGCTCTGATAGGCAGCCAAGTGGGGGAGACATGTTCAGAAAGAGATCAGACAATACAGGAAAGGCTTAACATCTACCTGTTTCGCCACAATCCCTGAAATCACTGAATACCCACTGAAATTGCTACCAACATCTATATAAATGGAATAGTCCCCCAGATTACAATACAATACAATTCAGGCACTCGGTTTGTATGCAAGCTGAACCTGCAAGGAGAGGAAGCAGGCCAGGCCCGCCGGCATCCTGTGCCACCGCTGTCCGGAAACATGGAGGCAATTTTTTGGAAAGATCCCAATCACCTGGAAATCCTCAATGAATAAAGGAGGTGCCTCTTTTCAGAAAGCTGCCCTCCAGATGAAAAGGGTGGTGGAATTACGCTGGAAGGAGGTGGGAACTAGCATGTTCCTCCTCCTCCTATGTATACCCTTCGCACATTCCAAACGCCTGAACGGGGTACCAGTGGCAAACGGAAGGCAGGGACAGGCTGTGCAAGATGAAGGGACGGGGCTATTCTGGCAGGAAATCCCTGATTGCTTATGGCTAGCGTATACTGCAGCAAAAACAAGTTTAATGCATAACTGCGTAAGTTTTGCTCTTTGCTTGCTCTCGTATAAGTGACCTGTGCCTAACACAGCGCTTGGGAACAACAGTAAAAGTGAAACAAACACACACACAAAGTAGGCAGGGGTCAAGACTCCCCAGCACCATCCTGTCCAGAAACTGATCGGAAAAGCACTACTGACCCAAGGCTGGGAAGCGGAGGTTTCCTTTTCTGGCGCTCCCACGGGCGTTTTCTTATTTTTCCCTTCAGATGCGACGCCTCCTTTGTTTGACCCACCAGCAGCCTCAGGAGCTTTGGGTGTAACTTCAGAAGAGCCATGATACAGCGGCTTAAAAGACTTTGGAGGAGCAGAAGGATTGCTCGGGGATTTCTTCAAACTTCCAAGCGGCTTCCCTGGATCAGGCTGGCTTCTCCTTGCCCCCGAGGGCTCTCTGCCGAGCGCTTGGAAAGATTTCTGCTTATTGAACTCTTCAACAAAACTTGGCCCCAGACATTTCACCACAGCTTCCAAGTCCTTATCTGGGGGCAGAAAAGGGGGAAACCTCCGTAAGCTACTCTGCATGCCATCAATGACTGCTCTTGGCTGAAGGGAGGGAAGAGAACACAGAACGGGGTGCACGCAGGAGCCCCGTCATGTGGGGCGCAGCGCAACACCCCTCCGGCGTGGGGCCTGCGGCCAGGCAGGAGAGCTCTGAGCAGCCACATTCCACGGGGGTCCGCACCAAGGACAAGAGAGCAGGGCGGGGCCATCCCAACGCCTCCCCCGCTGCCACCGGTGTCTCGCAGGATGCCGTGCCTGTCCAGGCAGGAGCCCACACAAGCAGCTCGTCCCCCCGCAGACGACGCAGAACGTGCCTCTGCAGAGCACGAGTCAGGCGGGGGCAGGACCGGGCCCCCCAGCAGCACGCCTTCCAGCCCCACCCGATCCGCAGTGGAGAGAAAGCCTGGCACGCCCAGTCCGCAGAGGATCAGAGATTAGCTGTTCACCCCGCACGGCACTGAGCAGGGGGGCCCCTTCAGTGCCGTGCAGCGATGTCCGCTTCACCTCAGCGCGGCTGGGCAGAGAGAAGAGCTCCCCCCTCCACAGCAAGGGCCTTCGAATCTGCTGCAGGGGAGATCCTGAACAAGCGCAGGCCCCAGCAGGCTCGGGGAAGAGGCTCCCCCTCTGGTGCAGAACACAGGGCTAAACCGCAAGCGATGCCGTTTACAGCCACACCCTACAGCTGGGCATGTGCGAGCTCTCAGTGGACAGGGAGCCACACTGGAGATAGAGGGCACGTGGGGCCGAATTCCCAGATGATGATGAGGCTCACTGGGTGACCTTTGGGGCAGTCATGAACTCTCAGTCTAGCCTACCTCCCAGGGTTGTTGTTGCAGGGATAACCGACGTAGAAGAGAAGCCACCCTGGTTTCCTTGAAAGAAGAATAAAGGCAGGATATAAATGCACTGCAATGTAAAGAACTGTAGTATCGGGGGGGGGGGGGGGGGGGGGGGGGGAGAGAGGAACAGGGAGGTGCCTGAAACCAAGCTGAAAGGGGGGTGGGGAGAAGGAGGATGTAAGCCAGAACAGGTGGACTGAAGGATGCTCTCTTTGGGAATATTTCCCAGAGCATCCTGGACCTGGGGCAACAAAGTCAACGAAAGGGAGGAAGAGTGCATGGGATGACCAAGGGCGCAGAGTGCTGGAGAAAGGGCAGAGAATGGAGGTCTTGCTGGGCTGCGAGACAGGTCTGCCTGCCTGGCCGTGAAGGAGTGGGAAAGAAGAAAGCACTGGCCACCGGCATGGCAGGAGGGCAACGCAGGCCTGCACACCTGCTCCCTGTGGGAACAAATTCAGGGAGGAAGAAATTAATGGAGGGGCTCCTGGTTCCGGCACCAGTCAAGCCTCGGAAGGTCTCTGAGGAGGGCAGGGGGGGAGAGAAGGGACTGTAGGTATGGACGCTTTGATGTGGAGAAGGATCTGAGTGGGAAAGGAGATTTCTATGGACACATCCATTTATTAACAGGCAGCCTTGGCTGAGGGACACGGAAAAGACAGATGGACAGACAAGACAAACAGGTGAAGGAATGACAGAGGACGTGCGCATGGAATTGTGCAGACCCATCAGGCGGGGGGGGGGCAGCATGGGCAGGGAGCAGTGCAGCCTAGGACTGAACGTCAGGCTGGGGGGATACAGGTCAACTGCAGGAGGACTGAGTGGGGAGGATGTTACTGGCGAACCCACTTGATTGTCTGTAAGGTGATCACACAAGGAGGCTTCCTGCAATGTGGAACTCTATCTGATCACTTCGATTACCTGATCAAAAACAGGCCTGTCTTGACTATGAAGTTACAAAGAATAGCAATGAAAACACATAATCCGGTTGGCGGATCGGGCTTCGGAGAGGGTGGATTTGACCTGGTCCTGAATGGTGCAACACTCCCTCTTAGGGACAAGGTCCGCAGCTTAGGAGTACTCCTTGACCCGGAGCTTTCATTGGAAGCTCAGGTGACAGCGGTGGCGAGAAGCGGCTTCCTTCAGCTTCGGCTGATTAATCAGCTGCGCCCCTACCTGGAGTACGACTGCCTGGCGACGGTGACACGCGCTATTGACTTCCCGCCTAGACTTCTGTAATGCGCTTTACGTGGGGCTTCCCCTGAAGACGGTCCGAACACTTCAAATAGAGCTGCCAGGTTGCTGACGGGGATGGGGCGTTATGCTCACATGACTCCAGTCCTCCGTCAGCTTCACTGGCTTCCCATCGAAGCCCGGGCCCAATTCAAGGTGTTGATTATGACCTATAAAGCCCTAAACGGCTTGGGTCCTGGCTACCTGAACGAGCGCTTATGTCCGTATATGCCCGACCGCCCTTTGAGATCTGCGGGAGAGTCCCTTCTCCGGGAACCCTCCATGAAAGAAATTAGGAGAGTAAGTACTCGGAGGAGGGCTTTCTCTGCGGTGGCGCCCAACCTATGGAATTCACTCCCCAAAGAGGTCCGCCTGGCACCGTCGTTACTGGTTTTTCGGCGCCAGGTAAAGACCTTTTTATTTAAACATCATTTTAATTGTTAAAATATATGATCTGGCCAGGGCAACTTCTTCTTCCTTCTCTTTTCTCCTCCTATATTATTTATTTACTTATTTTATACTGATAATTTTAATTTTATATTATTATGTTCGTAACTCAGTGTATTTTTTGTATTTTTGTATTTAATGGTAATTTATTATGTTCTATTGTATTTCAATGTATTTTATTGTGTTGTAAGCCGCCCCGAGGCTTTGGCAAGGGGCGGCATAGAAATGTTATAATAATAATAATAATCCAGTCCAGAACTAGCTGATCTCAAAACTCTGTACAGCAGAGAGCTCAAAGTGTGTAGTGAGTTCTACATTATGGGAATCAATAAGAAGTGTTGCTCTGGAAAGCAGACAGGCAAGAAACACTGACGTTTCAATTAAATATGGGTCGTTTTCTCTCTAAATAACAGGCAATACAAACTCGTAAGTGCAAATTAATATTGCACAACCAAGTTCAAAGCAGAATACCTGTTATCACCGAGATAAAAGTTGCTGTGTGAAAAATCTCCACCTTCTCAATCATGCTATTTGCTCTAATATCTTACCTGGAGACCTAGTTGATCTCCCTGGCCCCCTCTCTCTGCTGGCAGACCTTTGAAAGCGTGAGCTGAAGCTTGGCCGCCGTGGAGACCTGGACCTGTGCCTGAGACTGGGCAGCCGTCTGGGACTTCGGCTTCTGGGCCGACTTCGGCTTCTGGGCCGACTCCGGCTTCTGGGCCGACTCGTTCTATGATATCTAGGGCTCCTAGACCGCGACCGAGTTCTGCGCCTGGCATGGCCAGAGCTTGAGCGTCTGGAACGTCTGGGGCTGAAACTGTCAGACCGTCGCCTTGGGATATGATTTTCCTTCCTGTCACCTTCACGCCTGTTGAAAGAAGAAGCAGAAAAGTCAGATCTTCCCAAACATTTCTTATTTAATAGGAATAAACCATCTTAATAGTTTACAAGATGGGTTTTTTTAATGGAAATGAAAACTAGGACATTATTTAACATTAGCTAATGGACATTAGTTATTTAACATCAGTTAATGAAAAAAGTTCCATTTGTAAGAAGTCGAATATATTCTTCATTAAAAATGGGAAATAATGTAGGGAAGTGTTAAATTTGATAATGGTTCATTCAGACATTACTTGATCCCCTGGATTCTACTTCACATGTTTGCAGGAGCAAGCCGCTAGCTAGCCTTTCCCGGCTCCTTTGATCAGAAGAAGAAAATGAGGCCCCCTCTGAAACATCCGCCTTAACATGGTAAGGGGCACGGTGTGTCCAAGGAGCCGAGAGCAGCCATCACATCAGGAAAAGCGAATGGGTGCCACTGATGCTGATGGGACAGAGAGACTCCCGAAGGGCAGCTGCTGGGAGGCAGGAGTAGCTGAAGGTAACACTGGGGGCGGAATCTTCACAGACAGGAGCAGCGCTGCTCAAACTAACTCTGGTTAGCGCTGAGCACAAAGCGGCACTGGCAACCCACCTCTGGATTCTCTCGCCTTGAAAACCCTATGATGAAACAGCCCAAAACAAAGAAGAGGTAATGCCAGAAGAGCCTGCCAGGTTGGAAGGCATTCAACTAGCTATTGGGAAGAGCAAAGAACAAGCAGAAGTCGCTGGGAGGAAGTCCAGTGGCTGAGGCACAGGGGCGAAAGGAAAGTCCGATGCTGTACAGCACAGATGGATGGAACATGAGATGGATGCGTCAAGGCAAACGGGAAGCCATAAAGGCGGAAATGGAATGGCTGAACATTGCAGGACACGGTGTGAATGAACTGAAGTGGGCTGGAGTGGGGCATTTTCAGTCAGACAAAAACAATGTTGTTTCTCCTTATATACAACAATCTCCTAAAATTTAGTAATATCTCTGTATCTCATTGTTCTAATTGCATAACATTAACCAGGTTAATTTTTCTTTTTTTAAAATAGGACCTTTATCATTTCTCTGTTACTCATTTTCTTCAACCAATCTTTTAACCTAAAAATTGTTTTTCCTTCAACACTTTTTCTCAAACTACCCCTCAAAATCCTTTGATTTCTGTGATTGGGATTAATGGCGAAATGGCCGGCATACATCTTGCGCTATACTTGTCCCGAATGTTCACTATATTCTTAACAAAGGGGTTTTTCATCTTTTTAACAACCTTCTTGTCATTCTGTTTAAAAGGAAGGTTTAAAAGGAATTCCTCAATTTGGTGTTCTAATTCTGCCCATATTGACTTTCTAGGTTGCAATATTATACCTGGCATATATATCATTTGATTCACTACATAATATAATTTGATAATCAGAACATCCAATCCTCCCTTTCTTCATGCTTTATACCATCTTCTCTTGCTAATCCTTGTTTTCTTATTCCCATGACAAAATTTATTAATCACATTTTGCCAATCTTCCAATTCTATTCCTAATATCTTAATTGATAACATCTCCCCAAAAAAAAAAATCTTAGGTAAAATTTTCATTTTGCATACTGCAATCTTACCAAACCATGATAATTCTATTTTCCTAAATTTATGCATTTTGTCTTTTACTTTGGATTTCAATATATCAAAATTATTCTTCTTTAAACATTGGATTTTTTGGGAAATGTTTACACCTAAGTATTTAACAAATTCCTTAATTTGAAATTTGTTCTTAACTCCCTCCTTTTTTCATTATTGCAATTAAACAACATCATTTCAGATTTATCCCAATTAACCTGTAGACCCATTATATCTCCAAATTCTTCTAAGTGAATTTTAATCCGTAAGTTTAGGTGGGTCCTTTATTGTTAACAATGTATCATCAGCAAATAAACTAATCTTGATTTTATTCTTAAATCCAACCTCTTTTATAATATTATCATTTCTAATACTATTTGGTAATAATTCTATAACTAAAGCAAACGATATCGGGGAAAGACGGCATCCTTGTCTAGTACCTCAGCCTAAGGATATTTGTTCTGTTGGACCATCATTAACTATGACAGCTGCAAAATGTTCTGAATATAACTGATTTATTATACTTTTAAATTGTGTGCCAAATCCTAATATCTCTATCAACATCTTTACTGTTGGCCATTTTGCATACTCAAAGGCTTTAAAGATATCCAATGCTATTACACCAGCTTTTAACCTTTCCTTACATATGACTGACCTCTATTACAACTAATACTCTTCTAGACAGGTCCGTCTCCCTACTATAAAAACACTCTGTTCCATGTTAATTTATCAATAAAATTACTCAATCTCTTTGCAAATATTGCTGTAAAAATGTTCACATCTTGATTTATCAAGGATATAGGTCTATATATCACAGGATCTGTCAGACCTTTAGTAGGGTTTGGAATCAAAACTACTGAGGAATGTTTCCAGAATGCTGACATCTTTCCTCCTTCCAATATATTACTAAAAAGAGATTTTAATTTTGGTACCAGCATCTTTTTGAAAGCCTTATAAAACTCTGTTCCTAACCCATCCATCCCAGGAGTTTCCCCTACTTTTACAGTATTAATGAGATCGTCAATCTCTTTTTCTCTAACAAGTTGTTCCACTGTTTCCCCCTCCACCATATCCCCACTTTTGGGGGCTTCTTCAGGTGTGCCTTTCTCAATCTCAGAACATGCTTGCTTGGTTATGTATTTAAAACATAAATAAATTTGTATGTTAAACTCAAATCTGTTGGTTTAACTGTCTTTTTCCTTTTAATGTTCGACTTTTGTGACTTAGGCTGCCAAAGTGACATTCACCCACTAGATGGAGCACTTTGATCACTTATTAATTAGAAGAGCCAGAAAATGCAATATGATAATCACACTGTCAGGTCAAAGATTTACTTCCTCTTCTCTTGGAGTCTTGTCAGCAGCAGCAATCCCCATATTCTTAGCTCACTCAGATATTTAATCCTTAATGAGCTTGGAATAGTAAAAGGCAGTTAGAAAAGTCCTCCATAAAATTTCTCCTTCCCACAGAATGTGAGTCTCTCTCTCTGCTCTGAGTGGGAGGATTCACGCTGTTAGTTCCAAAACTTAAATTGTTACGATCCATAAATCAGTACGCCATCATTCAGGTCTTATAAAAGGCAGAAACATTTCCCTTTACCTCACATCCAAGATCAAGCTGTTTTCCCAAGTAGAACCATCTCAATTATGCAGGCATTTTGAAAGTTTTCAAACTAGCAGTGGCTTGCAGCCATCCCTGGAAGTTCCCCTCAGTGCCCAATTCAACTAGAGATTACAGGCAAGAAATTCAAAGACTGAGACTTGGAAGGACATCAGTGAAGGAACTAGGAAAGATCCTCAAGTGTACGGATGTTTCGCTGGAGACCAAGGCCAAGACCATGCACACGAGAGTGTTCCTGGTCACTATGGATGGGTGTGAATGCCGGGCAGCGAGGGGGGCTGATGGGAGGGAGACGGACGCGTTTGCAGCATGCTGCTGGAGGGAGCCTCGTGCACCCCCAAGGGAAGGACAGGCGAGCGGGTCCTAGATCAAACCTAGCCAGAGCCCCCCGGACGCAAAGCCGAAGCTGCCACGTTCGGGCTCACGGAGGAGCCAATCACGCGAGGGAAAGCTGAAGGCAGCAGCAGGCCGAGGACGCGCTGGTCCAACTCCACGGGGGAAGCCTCAGCCTCGAGTTCGCGAGGGCTGAGCAGCGCTGTCGAGAACGGGGCACTGTGGGCGGCCTTCACCCACAGTCGCCGCAAGTCGGAGATGACTCGGTGGCATGTAACTAAACAGAATGAAAATCCTACCCCTCTCAAATGGCACAGTGAAAACAAAGATGGCTCTGAAAAGGCTACCACCAAGTCTACCGGCTTGCAAAACATACTCCAGCATAAAACAATGCACACCTATTTTCTAGATCTTTAAGGGAGAAATAGGACTGGTGATTCTGGAAGGCAGGCGGGGAGACCCTGAGTGAAAGAAACAAAACGATGGAGTTGCCACCAAGTCTGGCATTATTGCACAAGTCGCTCAAGCACGCCCTTAAGGCTTTGCGATTTGCGCCGATGCCATTCCTAGTATGCAAGGCGAATCAATGCAACTCTCCAATGCTCAACGGGTGGATAAGGCTGTACTTCTACGAGAACACTCTGACACCACGAAACATGTTTAGTAGGCTGGTCTGCCATAGCACGCTGTGGATCCATTCGAGAAAGCAGCGGCAAACGCTCCACATGACAACTTGCAAAACAACCACTACAGTTCCCAGGTTTAAATAACGTTTTCCCAACAACAGGTATCCAATCCGCTATTACACTTGTAAGAACATGAATGAGTAAAGATCACTGCACCCAAACAACATTTTAAAAACCACCATATTTAGAACGGTACCTTTTTGATGAAGAGTGGGACTCTGGATTCCAGTCAGGATACCTGTTTCAGGAATAAAAGTGTCAATGCAAGGAACTGGTCAGCTGCATTATTATTTCGATCTTAAATATTAGAGAGCACAATCCTTTGCTCTGTAGCAGTTGCCTAACCAGCCATGGGAAAATCCAGGGTCCCAGCTGGGACTGCCCTCCTCTGCCCGCAGAACCAGTGTGGCTCTTTTCTCTGCCTGCCACGGCTTGGGGACAGAAGACCAGCCCAGGAGCTGGTGAGCAAGGTTCTGCCACAATATGAGGCACCCCGAGGGCTTTGCCAATCTGAGAGCGCCAATCCTAACGAACAGAATGTAAAAGCGTAAATAATAAAATAATTGTCGGGCCTCGCTTTCTCCTTCTCCCAAGCAGGAGACACACCCAACCAGCGAACACCTGGAACAACATGCAAATCGACACAAGAGCTGCAGAAACCTTGCAGCTGAGGTGGCCGACTGAGCATTCCCTAAATTGAAAGCTCCAAGAATTTTGTTTGTGAGACACCACAAAGCACTGATAAGTGAGTGTCTTGCTTTCCACAGACAATTATCTGTTAGATCGAGTTAGCAGAAATGGTTAGAGCTGCAACAGAGACCCCGCCCCCCCAGAATGCAAGGGTTCACTTTGAGCGATGAAGTAAAAATTTATGAGAACCAAATCCATCCCCAGTTTACCAGAGTGAGAACAAAATGAAAGTCCTTACTGTTGGCATAGCTGGCGACAGCTCTCTAGATGGGCAGTCGTGTTCTGATGCTGGATCCAATCCTACAGGAAGAAAAGGCAGCCTCACATCACTGACGGAACACCGCTGTTGTTAACTGCATCTCTGCCTCCCCGTCAAGGACCGGCGGTCAGCGCAGGTGGCTGCCTGCTGCCCACCCCCAGTCAGGGGTCACACCAGCCCCGTGACGTACACTGCTGCAAAATTCACGCGGAAAGCTCCAACTGCCTCCTGTCACTGTGATCTACAGGGCCTTTGAGGGAGCACACCCGTGAAGTCACCTGAATCAGCACATGGAGAGCACGGGCGTTCTCTGTGAGCCCACACCTGCCAAATTCACGGCGCCTGATGCAGTGCCGCACTGTGGCCGGCCAAGCCCTCCATTCACCATTTTAGGCAGGCTGAGGAGACACTTAGTGCCCGAAACACCATCACTGCCACAAAGGCGGCTGCAGCGTGTTCCCCTGGAGGGAAAGAGCAGGCAGGCCTGTTCCAGTTCTCTGTTCTAGCAACAGAGCCCCCTTCGGACGCCTTGCACAGCAATGCAAGATGGAGAGGCAGTGACGGGGGGGGGGGGGGGGGGGGGGGGCTGCAGCAACAGGTCCAGCGAACGACAGAGCGAAATGCAAATGTTCAGAATCTTTTTACATAGTTACAAAGATAATAATTATTTTTATAATAAAATTTACATAAATCTAAGCATTTTAAAAAACAAGATCTGAAATTAAAAATTTCTATGCAAGAACGGTATTCAGGGCTGGAACATATCATACTGGTCCACTGACTTCCTAGAAAGGACCTGAAAGTTTAAGTCTCTATTTCCCAACCAGGCCATCAATACCCCTCAGGGGTCCACACTGAAGGGTTATTTTGACTGACTTAGAAATGTGCTACTCCATTCTCTTGATGTTATTAAAACCCAAATATTTTCCACAGGAATGGTAAGGCCTCCCATTTCAGCAGGCTTTTCTTGAAATTAAAGGTACAAGTAAGAGCAGGCTGCAACAGTATTGCCTGAATAGATGGAACATTCATTCACATAAATAAGTAAACTAACTTATATGCAAAATGGAAAATATCCAAAGAAAAGTATTTAAATATATTAACATTTTCTTTACCACACACTTGGAAAACCATGCAGGTACAGAAAGATCACTTTTACGCTAAGTTGTTCTATTCCAAACCAAGAATTATGATGTTCAGCGTCTACTGCAAGAAGCCACCCGGTGTATCCCTTTTTTCCTCCTGAAAGATCCTGGGTGCCGAGCAGCGTAATGGCGTTGCCCTGGGACCAGAGAGCTGGCGGGCAGTGCACTCTGGCCTCATCCGCCGGCCAGGAGAACACAGGCCAGGGGGATGCAGCACTCCTGACTTCCCGGGAAGACCCTCCATCGGCCATCCCCTTTTCCTTTTGCATCTTGCCTCTTACACTGCGAGCCTGGGAGGCCGGAAACCCCATCCCATACGTGGGGGTGGCCTTTCGCTCCGTTCTGCCCTCCGCTGGGTTCTGTTATGTCAGGCAAACAGACACACACGAGCTCCCGTTCGTCCCGCCCTCTTTCAAGAGAACGAAGGGGGATGACCCTTCGCGCGCAGCCCAGGGTCACTGCACTCCTCGTAGTCGCGCTGCATCCCCGAGCTGAAGGGCAATTTCACTGGCTGAGCTCAGACTCCGCTTGGCTCACGTGGCAAGTCATGCCTAGCACGAAACGGGCTGATCCCAGCAGGGCCTAAACAGGGCCCACGTGCTCTGGACCCAGAACTAGGCTCCCCCCAGTGCCACAGGCCAGGGGCACATCTGAGCCACCTGTGGGTTCCCGCAGCCGTCCCCAGAGGGGTGGCCGTGGCCGGGCGCACCGCCCAAGCCCAGGCGACAGGGGCTGCTGGAGGGTTAACCAGCCTTAAGGAATGCTTGGACTGCAGCAGGACTGAGGCGGCTTAGTCCAACCGCGCACGCTCCAGCCCGCCACTGGCTTAAGTCAGCGTGGCCCTGGTGCTGGTGACAGCAAGCTCCTGCCTTTTCCATCTAGCCAGGTTTCCCTTTTCACGCAGAAGAGCCGTTCTCCTGCCGTGCCGAGGCAACTCAAGAACTCACCACATGGCTGGAGAAATCTTTATATTACTAAGACAATTTAAATGAAGTGGGGGTCACTTCAAGGTTTCAAACTGTATTTGATTTAAATATAAGGTCAAAACCAGAATGGTTCAATGTAATGGATTAAACAGAAAACACCTTAACTTTTGTTCTCTCTCTCCCACAATGCCTCATCACACCATAATGAGCGCTATTCATTATGCATTCATAATACTTTATTTTGATGTTTCTGAGGATCTAAAATGTAATGCCTTGCCTGCTCTCAAAGCGGGTTTCTGTTAAGGCTTGGAAACATCTGGGGCATGTACTAGCGCTGGGCTAGCATTAGTGGCGAGGCTGGAACACATTTCTGAGTGGGTCTGGTGACCATTCTCATGGCGAAAGAGCCAACTGCATTCCCACAGCTCTATAGCACGTCCTCCTTATTACCACTGAGGACTCTGGTGTAACTTTGATTAGCCACTCCAGCACAAACTCTGAGTGTTCAGATGGCTCTGCCGTAAGATTCAAGCCAGACTGTGGAAGCTGCTGAGCCCAGCGTAGTCCTAGGCCAGCTCTGTTTCTATTAAGGCGTATAAGGGACTATTTTCTTGGCCTGCAGCAAAGCCTGATGCTTCCCTGACTATCGGGGAAGGGAGCACAACATCTGTTGCCGTATTCGTGCCTCACACAGCCGCTGCTGCCGCTGCTTAAAAATAGTTGGTCATTACAGAAGCATATTAGCCCAAATTGGGCAAAGCGTTATTTCCACTTATGATGTCTGCCAGGCATGCTAGGGGAGCAAAATCTACAAAATTCCACGGGCGCAGAGTATGCTCTGCATAACTGTGCACGAGCAGGGTATTGACTCACCTTTAAGTGTCTACATTCTACATTACACAGAGAACACATATGCGGAAATATTCTTGGCGATGCGGCGTAGTAATCGTTCATCATTGATGGCGTTGGCAGCCTCTTCAACGTCTGGGCATCCGCCTGTGAGAAAACTGGAAGCCAAGAGGCCTTTACCACACCAAAGGGAGACTCAATGGGATTCTCGGCATCCTTGTGGAACTTCTTCTGGCCACTGGGGGGCCCAGGCGGAGCACTGGGAGGATTGGCTCTGGATTCATGGTGAATCCTGTCACGCCTGTTCACCCCCGCTAGTATTTCGGGTACAAAGGGGGGTGGTGGCTGGTTCACGGATGGAATGATGGACTGGGGCACAGGCGGCAGTGGCAAAGGTTGCTGGGCAACAGGCGGCAGCACAGGAGGAATCCTGGGCTGGGCTGCTGAAGGAACCCCAGCTCCGGCTGAAGGGAGGCACAGCCCCGGCACCTTGCTGGACGCCTCCATTGAGAAGAAGGACTGGCTGTTTGGAGCGCTTCTCTGGAATCCCATCTGCCGTATCAGCTCCTCGACCGCATTCATTTGCTTGGTGGTGATGCCGGAGGGCGCGGCGCTCACCGGTGCGGCCTGCTGTGCTGGAAACCCTTTCATGCTGTCCTCATTTGGGACCTCAGAATTATACACCTTGACTTCGAGGGGACCTTCGCCAAATCCGTACTTGCTTTCATGCCCATAATCGATGACCTTGCCCTTAACCATGGAGCCACGGCCATCGTCGCTGCGAAAGGTTTCTTTTTCTCTACTTTGAGACGGTAAGCTGGACAGCTGCCGAGCCATTTTCCGCATCCGGATATCCCGTAAAATTAAAGGCATGTTTTCAGGGGTCAGTTGATCGTCCGGATAGCGACTCAGTTCCTCTAAGTCTTCGTTAGATAAGCCAAAGCTTGCTAAGATACTGGAGGCACTCTCGTTGGTGTAACGGCTCTGAATTTTTGTGGTATGTTCGGCAATCCTTCCAGAAGCAGGCTGACTCTGGCCAACATTTCCATGTGGAAATGGGTTATCCCAGCGGGAAGCACATCCTTCGTCCTTCGGCTGCCGCTCCATATTCATTCTCTCTCCTGCTTGTCGCGGGTCCATTCTGTGTTGAGTGACCTGAACATTCGGCCTGGGGAATCCTGCCCTCATTTCTGATCCCATGAATCTCTGGGTCATTCTGTGAGTAGAGCTAGGTGGGAGCTGCCTCTGAAGGCCGCCTGGTCCAGGTCCCGGCCCCTGAAAGGGCCCACGTGGGACTGGACCAGGTGCATTCGGTCCCCTCGGCCTCGGATGCATGTTTCCTCTAGGGCTAAACATGGCAACTTTCAGGAGTGCCTCATTGAACGAGGCATAAGATGCTATCGCGTGCTTTGACGCAACTGAGTTCAGCTGATGAAGAGCCAACTGCGCCTGAATCTGAGCGAGCTGCAAAGGAGGAGGGCCCAACAGAAGCGGGCCGGCAATGCCAAGGTTCAGAGAATTCACAAGGGGCGCAACATTTTCCAAGAACACCACAAAGCTGAAAGTTAAACACACAAAAATTAGATTACATTTATTTTTTAATCTATTTTCTGAAGCGGTTCTTCTGCCTGTAAGGAAATTGGCTGGAAAAAAATTAATTTCTGTTTCATATAACTTACTCATTTTAACAAATGTGTTCATTTAGTTAACCCACTTGTAAATTAATGGATCTTATACAAATATATTATACGCTATGAGCATATCTAAAATCCTTGAGATTCAACTCAACAACTACATATGAGTTCTGTAATGGTTACATTTTCTCTGAACATGAAGGGCAGTTTATTTACAGAGCTGCTGGGGAAAAAGAAATCACAGTGCACTCAGCTGCAGCCCTGTGCATATTTATGAGGACTGTGTGAGGGCGGGAACTATCGGCCTGAGGGCTAAACCTGGCCCTCCTCCTTTCCTCTGGCTGCCAAACAGCCAGTGGTTTTCCAGGTTTTACAAAGAGGTTTTCCCATTTTAAATAGCTGAAATGCTTCCTCTAATGCTTACTTATTTTACCCACATTAGCATAAAGCTAAAATTATTTATTTGTGGTACTTTAATCTGCCTAGTAGTCTGAGTTCTCTGGGTTAAAAACATGTAGTACACACAGTGAAACAAAAAGCAAAACAGTGCAACACTGAGACTAAAACAGGTACCTGCCGGACTTTCCCAAGGGGGCATCCCAGAGAGCCACCAGTGAAAAGGGCCTCTTCCTTGTGGCCAGCCTCATCACCTCACTCGACAGGGGCACGCAGAGGGCCTGGGACAACGATCTTAAGTGTCCAGGTAGGTAAATATGGAAGGAGGCATCCCTTCAGACAACCTGGCCCCAACTTTAGAGCTTTAAAGGTTAAAAGACCTTGAATTGGGTATGAATGTGGACTGGAAGCCAGTGCAGGTGGAGGAATGGCCTGATCATGTCGGCTGCTCCCAGGCAGTGGTCTAGCTGTCCTACCTGGCGACTAACTTAAGTTTCTAGATGATTATCAAAGGCAACCCCTGGTATAATGCACTGCAATAGCACAAACAGGAGGTTATCAGAGCAAGAATAACTCTTGTGCCTTGTTTTATATTTTATTGTACCTTGTATATTGCATTAATATACTTTGTAAACTCCCCTGAGAGCCTTCTGTGACTAAGTGGAGGTATAGAAATTTAATTTAAAAATAACAACAACTATTGCAAGAGTTTATCTGACCAGTTAGGGCCAGAGTTTGTATATTAGCTGAGCTGATACAAGGCAATCTGTGCCAGTGAGGCTAACTGCCAATGATGGGTCCAAAAACACCCTCAAGATCATCTCTTTTAGGAAGAGTGCTCCGTCCAGAATGGACTGAACAACACTTAGCTGGGCAGATAAATTACCCCAACATTTCTCTGCTTTGTCTAGACTGCGTTTCAGTTTACTGGCCCTTACCCAGTCCATTACACTTCCAAGGACTGGTTCAGAACATCAGCAACCTCACCTGAAGCAGATGAAAGGCAGAGGTGAAGCTGGGTATCATCTCAGCCCACTTCCCTGGAAAACCACTCCCAGCAGTCTCACAAAGATATTGACAAGCACGGGGGATGCAACAGAGCGCCAAGGAAATCCGTAACACAATTGCCACGGGACAGAGTAAGAACCACCTTCTGAAATCAGTCATCCAAGCCGAAGTAAAACCAATGCAATGAAACTCACACTATCCAACTCAGGCAGCTCACCCAGAAAGATACTATGGATACATCATCATCTGATGAGATTATTCAAAAACAGAATATCTAGACATCTAACAGAAAACTACTGTACTTTCAAATCTTATGGATCACTGTAAAATACTGGTCCAGGAAAGCCGTTACCGAGTTTCCCAGGCACATTGCTCCAGCAACCGAAAGCTTGGGCCTGTTTGCAACAGAGCCGCTGACTACTTGTTTCTAACTTGCCTCTGCTTACTCCACCTTCTGGACTAAGTGAAAGCCATTGATGCATCTAAAATACACACAAATCAAACCTTTAAGGATAGGCTAGCCTCAACTGTGCACTGCAGGGAGAAACTAAAAAGGGTATCAGTTTTGCAGGAAACAATAATTAAACCATGATGGCTATATATTCCGTTCAGTAACGGGGAGCGCAGGTGGGCAGAGGCCACAGTGCTTGTGCCCTGCATGTGAGCATTATAGCAACTGGGTTGGTCACGGGGGAACAGAATCCTGGACTCATTTAGGGTTTCCTTGTGTTCAGACCTTGTACATCGGAACAAACCCCCCAACTTCATACATACACTGATGGGATCCAAGCTAGTGGTGACTGACCAGGAAAGGTCTGGATGTAAGCTAAAGGAACACGTTGACCCAGTGTGTAGCTACTCTGAAAGTGGCAGGCCTGCGTTCAACAATCCCTTGAAGACGGCTGCCACACCTGGAACCATTTACCTTGAGAGGGGAGAGAGGAGGCAAGAGGAGATGACAGAGAGCCATACATGGCGTGGTGAGAGTAGGCAACGCTCACAATATTAGAGGACGGCTGCTCATCACATGAGGCTGAAGAATGGGAGGCTCCGGACAGATACAAGGAAATGCTTCTTCCCACAGTATGTGAACTACGAAGTTCCCTACCAGGAGATGTTCCGATGGGCCACCAACTACAGTAAAGCGATCAAACAAATGCCTTGGGGGGACTGACAGCGCACCGTGTCTCGGTGGTGCAAACAACTTATTTCGTAAGCTTTACTGTTTTCCTCTGGCAACCCCTGAAGATGTTCTTGTGCACAGAATTGGGATGGCCATGGATCAGGAAAGGGATACATTGTGCTCCACTGCGGCGTCTTAAACGAGTTGCTCTTCTCCCTAACAGATGCTTTCCGGCTTTGTGCCATACGAAAATTAATGAAAACCGTATGTGGAAGCCAATGCTCCATAATTTGGTATGTAGCTACTATATTTCTGATTTGAATGCTATCTTTACTCTGGATGAGACAACTAAGGGATTGATGATTGTGGATAGACTCTAGAAAGGTCCTGCGATTAACTAAAAACTCTAAATTCTCTCAGTGGTTTCCCAATGTGAAACAGAGCATTACTGAGCTTGCCACCTGTCCAGACTGAGACCAGCCTCTTTAATGCCTTACTGAGTTGCAATTTCAAGTTATCCCGATTACAGTTTTGGATGGTGCCTTTTGAAGGCAAATTATGTACATCAAGTTGAAGACACAGTACATTACATGCTAATCTGTTCTCTGTATACCGACCCCAGAGAGAGATTCTTGAAACCCTTTTTATCATACAGGTACAGGAATAGCTTGACAGAAACAGTTCTTTTTCTTTTAAGTGATATTAATAATTATGTGACATATAAAGTTGCTTTGGCAGCAAAAAAAAAAAAAAAAGCTCAGGAAGAAAGAATTAGACAAAATTGCTATCAACTGCATGGGAGATTCAGACTTAAAGATGAATTTTTGTTCATAGTATATTTTAATTGATTTGTATTTTATATTGTTTGAAATTATTTTCCATGTATATACACATACATTTGATGTATTTGTTATCACCTTTGGCTAGTACAATAAACTGTGAATTGACCTGTCAGAGGAAGGGGTAACAGAGGAAAAACACTACCAAGTAATACCATATTCCCAGACCAAAGTATTTTTATTGGCACCACAGTGATGCAAATCAAGTTGTGTCATTTTTTCCCTCAATTTACGAGGCTTGAAACTACAAGTTACAAGGATCAAAGGTGGTTCTAGGAAAGGTCCATCAACACAGCGTTCAACAGGCTCCAGGGATGTTGAACATGGTTCAACAACTTTGACTCTGGCACATGAGAGAAGCCCAACACTTTCTCCCACACCTGAAGCTGCAAGGCAGAGGGAAGGAACCCCGGCGCCACCGTTCCCCAAAGGCCAAAGACTTGTTTTGGCTCCACAATTGCTGGGTGCCTGCAGGTGCAGAACCGCCTGGCGCCGCCTCCTTGAGCGCCAAGCTGGAGATGGGAAACAGAAACACAAGGGTTTGCATCTGTGCCTGACAGCGCTCGTATTTCAAACCACTTATCAGGTGTAGAAGGAAAAGGAGTCAAGGAACTTGCTATCTCCATCTTCTAAAGATAAGAAGCAGAGATATGTGGGTTGCTTTTGCTCCGAATGGGCACTCGGGGTGCCCAGCAAGCTCAGAACCAAAGGAAGTCTTTGACTAGGCCCACCCACCATCCCTTCAACCCCTGAACTGGTTTGGCAGGGGAAATGCTGCACGGAGCTGGAGAAGTAAATGGGGATTTCCCATCACCTCATGCTACATTTCAGAAGAAAAGCACAAGATCAGGGAGAAGACCATGAGAAGCAGCCTCCTTGGTAGCTTTGGTTGGCCATCACCATCTCTGATTATGAACATAAAATAAATTCAGTATGCAGAAGGCAAACTTTACATTCAGCATAAGCATTATACTTCTGTTTACTACTCAGGACTCAAGTAATCAATTACAACTGAGAGGGCTTTGTACCAACACGGCCAATTTTATTTTATTTTTATTTATTTACATAATTTGTACCGTACCCAATTAACAATTTTTTCTGGGCTATTAACAACATTTATTTATTCTAGCATAAAATACAATAATTCTGTACTGTTAATCTTGGCAACTAAATGACAACTTCTAACCTAGTTGGCAGGGTATATCTCAGAAGTATTGCAGGAGGACTTCACCACTATTACAAAAACTGTTGCTTAAGAGTGTCTGTGCAAATAACAAGAACCCAATCTAGGAACATTGCATGTATTTGAGAAATGTTTCCTGTATATAAGGGTTAAGGGAATACAACCTTAAACAGAAGCCCCTGAAGTAAGACTATTGATCTAAACACAAGAAAAACTTATTCAAATCTATATTCTACTGCATGTTTGCAAGTACAAACCTTCAACGGTGAAATCAATTTATACAGTACTGAGAGCTGGAAAAAGAAAGTAAGTATCAGGCATTATAATGTCCACTAATACAAGCTTTAAAAGAATGATTCTGTCATTGAATTTACAAGCTACAGAATGCCTATCCACAAATCACTGCTTGGAAAACCAAGGAACTAAAGATTTAATTATACATTAAAATCAACCAAAGATTTTGTGCTCCTAGTTTAAGGTGCAATCCTTTGTTTACCTCCTAATGAGGTTTAAACTGGGGCTAGTTTTCCGCTCCGAAAGAGTGCAGACCCTATTAAAATGGCTCGCTCCCGGAGTCTTATACAGTATATCACAGGAGTACACCCCTCACATTTTGTAAATATTTTATTATAACTTTTCATGTGACCACCCTGAAGAAATGACACTTTGCTACAATGTAAAGTAGTGGTATACAGCTTGTGTAACAGTGTAAATTTACTGTCCCCTCAAAATAACTCAACACACAACCATACATGTCTAAACCACTGGCAACAAAAGTGAGTACACCCCTAAGTGAAACTGTCCAAATTGGGCCCAAAGTGTCAATATTTTGTGTGGCCAGCATTATTTTCCAGCACTGTCTGAACCCTCTTGGGCATGGAGTTCACCAGAGCTTCACAGGTTGCCGCTGGAGTCCTCTTCCACTCCTCCATGACGACATCACGGAGCTGGTGGATGTTAGAGACCTTGCGCTCCTCCACCTTCCGGTTCCGGATGCCCCACAGATGCTCGATAGGGCTTAGGTCTGGAAACATGCTTGGCGAGTCCTTCACCTTTACCCTCAGCTTCTTTAGCAAGACAGCGGTCATCTTGGAGGTGTGTTTGGAGTCGTGATCATGTTGGAATACTGCCCTGCGGCCCAGTCTCCGAAGGGAGGGGATCGTGCTCTGCTTCAGTATGTCACAGGACATGCTGGCATTCAAGGTTCCCTCAATGGACTGTAGCTCCCCATTGCCGGCAGCACTCATGCAGCCCCAGACCATGGCACTTCCACCACCATGCTTGACTGTAGGCAAGACACACTTGTCTTTGTACTCCTCACCGGGTTGTCGCCACACACGCTTGACACCATCTGAACCAAGTAAGTTTATCTTGGTCTCATCAGACCACAGGACATGGTTCCTCTAATCCATGTCCTTAGTCTGCATGTCTTCAGCAAACTGTTTGCGGGCTTTCTTGTGCATCATCTTTAGAAGGGGCTTCCTTCTGGGACGACAGCCCTGCAGACTAATTTGATGCAGTGTGCGGTGTATGGTCTGAGCACTGACAGGCTGACCCTCCACCCCTGCAACCTCTGCAGCAATGCTGGCAGCACTCATACGTCTATTTCCCAAAGCCAGCCTCTGGATATGACGCTGAGCACGTGCACTCAACTTCTTTGGTCCACCATGGCGAGGCCTGTTCCGAGTGGAACCTGTCCTGTTAAGCCGCTGTGTGGTCTTGGCCACCGTGCTGCAGCTCAGGTTCAGGGTCTTGGCAATCTTCTTATAGCCTAGGCCATCTTTACGTAGAGCAACAATTCTTTTTTTCAGATCCTCAGAAAGTTCTTTGCCACGAGGTGCCATGTTGAACTTCCAGTGACCAGTATGAGAGAGTGGGAGCGATAACACCGAAATTAACACACCTGCTCCCCATTCACACCTGAGACCTTGTAACACTAACGAGTCACGTGACACCGGGGAAGGAAAATGGCTAATAATGCCCAATTTGGACAGTTTCACTTAGGGGTGTAGTTACTCTTGCCGTCAGCGGTTTAGACACTGATGGCTGTGTGTTATTTTGAGGGGACAGCAAATTTACACTGTTACGCAAGCTGTATGCTCACTACTTTACATTGTAGCAAAGTGCCATTTCTTCAGGGTGGTCACATGAAAAGATATAATAAAACCTTTACAAAATGTGAGGGGCGTCTCACTTCTGTGATAGACTGCACATCCTGATGGATTCCCGACGACTCTGGGGGATAAGGGCTGGCGCTCCAGTCGATGCCCTGGCTGATCCGTGGAATGGGGAAAGGACCAGGGCGATGGACACGACCGCCCAAGCATCCTCTCCCGTCACGCAGGGCTTGCGCAGCACCACGGTATGCGCCTGACTGTGGGCAGCGAGGCAGGCTGGGAGGCGGCAAGTGCAGGTGGAGGAAGCCCTGCGCTGAATCTGACCGAACACAACTAAGGGCTCATCATCAGGCCTACGCTGTGGTAGTGAGGGGGCGAAGAAGGCATTCTCTGCTAGCACTGCAGCCTCACAGCACCGTCCAGCTGAGTTTTTCCAGGTGGGGCAGGGCCTGTTACACTCTGGGCCAAAAAGTGACCCTATTCCACCATTGGTGGCTTGCCGTGATAACTTTGCCCAGCCCTTCAGGGATAAAATCGCTCAGATCCGTCACAACCTGGACTCCACGGCACCTGAACGGGAAGCGTCCAGAGCACCGTCTCGTCCATCTTTCTTGGATGAGTTTCAAATGTTGTGGCCTGAGGGTGTGGACAAGGTGCTTGAACTAGTCACCACCCCCTGTTCTCTTGACCCTTGCCCTTCAGGGCTACTCATCAAAGCCAAGGATGAGATGTGTACCTGGGTCCAGGAAGTAGTTAATGCCTCTTTGAGGAAGGAATGGGTCCCTGCCCCCTTGAAGGAGGCGGTGACCAGGCCCATCCCGAAGAGGGTCAACCTGGACCCAGAGCTGGCCCCCAATTATAGACCAGTGGCTAACACCTCATTCTTGGGCAAGGTGTCCAAGTGGGTGGGGGATGGGCCACTCCAAGCTCCCTTGGAGGAAAGTGACCATCTGGATCCATTTCGGTCTGGTTCAGGCCTGGTTGTGGGACAGAAACTGCCTTGGTCACCCTGTATGATGACTCGTGCAGGGAGAGGGACGTGCGTCCCTGTTGGTTCTCCTGGACCGCTCAGTGGCTTTTGATACCATTAACCATGGTATGCTTCTGGATAGGCTGGCCAGGTTGGGAGCTGGAGGCACTGTTCTGCAGCGGTTCCACTCCTACCTGTCTGGCTGATTCCAGAAGGTGGTGCTGGGGGATTGTGGCTTGGCACCATGGCAGCTTTGCCATGGAGTTCCATTTTCTCTCCCATGCTCTTAACATCTACATGAAACCGCTGGGGAAGGTCATCCAGAGGTCTGGGCTGAGGAGTCACCAGTATGCTGATGACACCTAGCTCTACCTCACTTTTACACCCAATCCAAGTGAGGTGCTGACTGTCCTTAGCCGGTGCCTTGCCAGGGTGATGGACTGGATGAGGGCCAATAAATTGAGGCCTAATCCAGACAAGACGGAGGTCCTGTTGACTGGCGGTTCAGCCTCCCAGGGAGGCGTCTCTAACCCTGTTCTGGACAGGGCTGCACTCCCGCTAAAGGACAGGGTATACGGTTTGGGAGTGCTCCTCAACCCAGAGCTGTCCCTAGAATCCCAGATGGAGTGCTTTCCTTTTGCTTCAGCTGATTTATCAACTGCGCCCCTATCTGGATGAGCAAGTGCCTGGCAACGGTGACCCATGCGCTGGTAACTTCCCGGCTGGACTACCGTAGCAAGCTCTATGTGGGGCTGCCCTTGAAGGTGGCCTGGATACTTCAACTGGTTCAGAACACAGCTGCCAGGTTGGTAACAGGAAATGGCAGGTATGCACACATAATGCCCACCCTTTACCACCTACACTGGCCAAGCCCCAATTTAAGGTGCTGGTGATGCCCTATAAAGCCTTGAACAGCTTAGGATCTGGTTAGCTGAAGGAGCGTCTCCTTCAGTATGTGCCTGCCTGCCCCTTAAGGCCTGGAACGGAGGTTCTTCTCCAGGAGCCCTCCTTGAAGGAGATTAGGAGGGTGGCTACCCAGAGAAGGGCCTTCTCTGCGGTGGAACCCCAGTTATGGAATGCACTCCCCAGAGAGGTTTGCGTGGCGCCATCACTTGATTCTTTTCGGTATCAGGCTAAAACCTTTTTATTTTTCCAGTATTTTTAGGTTTGATTGACGAGTTTTATCATTGAAGACTAATCGGGATGCTGTGCTATATTTTATTTTGTTTGGTTCTGCTTTGCAGTCAAACCTCCGGTGGTGGACAGTATCAAAAAGTCTTAAATAAATAAATAAATTTAGATTAAAAATGCCCTACAATTATCCAGAGAATGCTAATAGGGCCACACTTTCTTCTGACCAAACGTGCAGAGGATTGTGCCTTTACTTTCTTAGATTTAGTAAGACTGTGTTAAAAGTGATGCATATTAGGCTGCTGTATACAACACTGTAGATACTGCGGGTTCCGCTCCAGACCACCTCAACAAAGCGAATTTACCCCACCGGCATATAAGAGTTATGTTTACACTATACCAAAGTCTATTCAGTGTGCAATAACATCATGTCTAAAAAAGAACAATGCACATACCTTAATTAAAAATACTTTATGGCTAAAAATGCTAACCATCACCCGAGCCTTCAACAAGTCGCAATCTTATTTCTGGTGAAGGGTCTTGCCCTGATGTTGATGGCTGCTGACTGCTCCGCAGAATTACCACAATGTGACACAGAGACACAAAGTGAGCAAATGTGATGGAAAAATGGTGTCAACACTTGCTCAGTGCAGCGTAGCCACAAACCATCAATTTGTAAAAAGCGAGGCACGATAAAGCAAAGCGCAATAAAATGGGGCGTGCCTGGTTGTGCCAACTGTGTCGGTCAGGATAACCCACTAGCATCGGTTGTGAAGTCTGGCATGAAAATGCATCAGAAGGCCCTTTCTGCAGGCTTATACCTGAGCTCGTTGCAAAATCCAGTGCGTGCGGAGGGTGGAGTCCAAGCATTGTCGTCGTACTTTACCTGTGCGCAGCACTGTCGCCTGGGCCCACTCTTCCCACAGGTGGCAGCGCGAGCCGCCTCGGGGGGACGGGGCTGCGGGCTCGCACTCCGCAAAGCTCCTCCAGAGCAAAATGAAACCAAGAGAAGGGGCGAGGGCCGCGCAGAGCCCGAGACTGCAAGCGCCACAACTCCTCCTTCACGTTGCTTTGAGCGTTTTTAACCACGGGTGCTTATTTTTCCCGTCCGTACGGAGAGTACCTACGGATGCCCCGACTGCGTCAGCGGGCAATGTTAGGAGCCGGCGCGAGTCCCAGCAGCGGGCGCAGGAGGGGCGCAAGGGCGCGCAGTCCTGCTGGGC